ATTGTAGCAGCAAGAAGGGCACAGGGCAGGATCTCTATGATTCGAGCAGATGGGGTAAAGGGAGAGAGTCCTGGAGCCCTTGGTAGCTTTTTCAGGCTTTTATTGAGTTTACCAGGTACTGGGCAGGCAGGGGAGGAAGGTGGAGGGAGGGTGCCGGGGGCGGGCCCCGGGGAGGCTGGCAGGCCTCCCAGCCCCCAGGGAGTCTTCGCTCTTTCTGGGCTCTCCGGTGTTCTCTCCTCTTGTGGGCTTGTTCTCTCGCTTGTTCTGGTCTTCTGGTCTCTTTGGCCCTGCTGGCACCCCCGTGATGCCACCCTTATAATCACAGTCTCAGCCCAGGTGTACCCACCTACATATGCCCAAACCCTACTCCAGGTGCCGGTCCTTAGGCATGCATTCAGGACCGCAGATCCACCATCAATCCTAATGGGGGGCAGAAAAGCCTGACAATCATTTACCTTACCCTACAGCAATAAACTGGAACAGCCTCCGCATTGAACTTCTATTTCCTGCTCTTCCATAATCCCTCCCTTCAGTTGCCTTGCAAACTATCTTCTGTCCATTTTTTTTAATTGTGTCAAGCTAGAGGATAAATCCGAGTCCTTACACTATCTTAATCAGACATGGAAGTTCTTATAGATATTTGAGCTAATTCTTTAAGTGGTAGGGAGTCAAACAATACAGATTTTCTTCAATAAGTTGGTTTTATCAATTACTTTCAAAATAATTGACAAAGTCAGAATCATTCTGGTTTATTTTGTAACCATGTTTCTTGTTTGAAATGTGCCATTAGTTATTTGGGCAATCTTTAATGGGAAAATGACAGAAGCATCAGACATTTTCAATTGGTTATTAAATAAAAAATTTAAATGTGGTACAATTTCAGTTGTCTAATAATTGCTTAGCAGTCTTCTCCACCTTAATAGTGTAAGAGTTTTATCATTATGGTCTTCTGTTTTTCTTTTTTAGTAAATGTTGTGGAAGGCATACTAAAGATACCAATTTTTTAAACTGATTTGAAGTTCTGCTTTATGCTGTTTTAATTTTCTACCGAATGAGTTTAAAAGAAGCTACAGACTGCCTTTACCATCTGAAATTTTTCCTTGCCCTCCACCAACACCTCCTATATTTTACTTAGGCCCTGTTTAAAATTTTTATTTTTTAATTGAAAGAATTTAAACCATATTACAGAGTCTGTATTTTCCTGGAAAATGAACAGTAGTGTAGCAATCATTCTGTGAAGTGCTTTCAAAGGATTTTTCGCGAGCCTTTGAAAAGAAATGGAAGGAATAGATGAGGAAGTAGTTACTAAAACTGTAAGTTGGCTGGGTATTCAGAGGATGGCGTTGAACACTAATAAAGGCTCCTCTTTTAATAGGAGGAAATTCGGCAGCCCTGGTAGCAAAAAGGGAGACTGGATTCAGTAATGTCTCATTTGTCAGCAGGCCATCTGTCATTTAATTCTTCCTGGACTCTCACCACCTGTAACACAGGCAGCATTTGGAAATCATTTTTCAGGCATCTGAGTGCCTTACATAATGTTCAACTAGCTTTGTTTGCTAATTTCTCATCTTGCAGCATATTAGAAGGAATAATCTTAAAGGTGGAAGCTGGGTGAAGATTGGGGTAGCTGAAGATAACAACAGAAAGTAAATTTAAAAAATTGATGATAATGTAAGAGCTGGAATAAATTTGGTGTAGTACCCACAAATTCAACATGGGCAACATGGGGTTATTTATTACAGCTCACTTGCCTCACGGCAGCGCTTTATGAGAAAATAGCATAATCACCCATTGTTATTATGAAGGTACTGAGGCATGTAAACAACTTTGAACAATGCTTACAAACTGTTTTTCACATTTTCTATCAAGTTGATTCTGAGATTGACAATAATACTCTGAAATAATTAAGGAAGTATTAATGACTCTAATTTGGAAATGAGGAAGTGACTTATTTTAAGAAGATAACTCAGGTCCAGTTCTCGTGATTCCAGGTCCAGTAATAATAATAATAATAATAATAATAATAATAATAATAATAACTTGAGTCATTAAGATTTAAATCTGTTGAGAATACCCTAAGGGGATAGAACTATTTGTAAAATATTTGGGAAAGATTTCCATTAGTAAAAATGTTAACAAGTTTTGACAAATGAGTACTTTTCACCTCTAGAAAATTCCTTCTTTCTCACCTGTGTTTTGAGGGCCTATATGCTGTACAACTCTGAGAAGTGCTGGGAAGAGGTAGAGGCATAGTGTTTGCCCGTTGCCTTAAGGAGTTAATAATTTAAGAATGAATTTGGAGCACAAACATGTTAGCATAAGTTAAGGGCCAAGAGAACTATCTCAACAGGTACCTAAAGTTAGGTACTGGAAAAGTGATTGCCTGTGCTGGGTCAGTTGATACCAGTGGCACTGACAAAGATGTGTTGCAATATATTCTGTGCACTTGTATTGCACAGAACCATTGAAGATGAAGAGATACTGAACTCATCTAAAAATGGAAAGTACCTTAATTTGCCTGAAATAGAATAAATGAGGGGAATCCAAAAAGCAGAAAACCCCAACAAATATTGAAAATGCATTCAACCATTCTGTATTTACTGAGGGTCTCTTATGTGCTAGCCTCTGCTCTGGGCTCTGGGCACACAATGGCAAGCAAAGAAGACAAACTCCCTGCCTACAAGGAGCTTATGTTCCAGTGGGGAAACAAATCAAGCAAATATGCAAATAGAGACACAGAACAGTATCAAGAATTGATAAGAAGGAAAATACAACAGGCTAAGAGTATAGTCACAGGGTAGAAGCTGGTAGCAGGGCTGGATTCCACAAAGAGAGCTAATATTTTAGATGGAGTTAATAAAGAGAGGCTGTCTCAGCAACAGAAAGTTCAGAAGTGTGTGATGAAGTAAAAGATTGAACCATATGGATTTCCTAAGCAACAAACACCCCAAAGCCTATTCTCTCATCAGGAAGCAAAAGCATTAAAAGCCACTTTGGGTGAGACAGAGTTTAAATAATACACTGATCAGTCACCAGGACACCATTCAACTTTCTCTTCTAGGATTCTGTAGCTCAACATGATTGCACTGTTTCCTCACTCTTCATCATCACTTGTGAGTACTGAGAGCACACATACACACACACACACACACGTGTGTGTGTGCTGGGCCCTGTAACATGGGTGGCACAGTACTAACCCGTTTCCTTTACTTCCTTCATCCCTTCCCTTCCCTGCTGCAGAATTTGATTTCCAAGAATTTTCCTGTGCTTCCTCCTCCTTTTCATCCACTTTCTCCCACTTACCTGTTTCCAGTCACCCCACCCCCCCACACACAGTGCCCCTCTTTACTACATGAAATTCCATGCAGCCTTGGTCTTCCAGTTCTCCTTGATTTCTCCCCCTCTATTTTATTTATTTATTTATTTATTTATTTATTTATTTATTTATTTTTAAAGATTTATTTATTTTTTATTTATACAAGCACTGGGTACAGTCAGAAGCGCAGGAGGGTGAGAGAATTCACCAGAGCCAGAGCGGGGAGCAGAGCAGGCAGAAGGACCGAAGTACACTGCTGACGGGAGCAGCGGGCGGCAGGAGAGGTCTATGCGTCATGTGGGACCCTCCTCTGGTGGCCGGGGAGCAGCCGGGGATCGAACCGGCGCTGCAGAGGCTGCAGGCAGCTTCACAACCCAGCGCTCAACCGCTGCGCCACTGGGGAGGCCCTCCCCCTCTATTTTATCAAAGTGTTCATTAAGGTCAAAATGATAAAAGATAAAAAAGATAAAAATAAGGCTTGAGAATTAACTAGGACCAAGTCACGCTAATACTTGAATATTTGGCAAAGCACAGATTACAAAATCGAATGCATAGCAGGACGCAGTAGTTCATACAGGTATATGAAGAGGGTCTGTAAGACAGGAAGACCCAAGCTTATTGTCTTTTACCCAAGCATAATTTCTGTGTGGGTGCTCTGCCCTCTACACTACGGTTTAAACAAAACAACCAAAAAGAGGATAAGGTTGTTCATGTGGCTCAAGGGCTCTCAGCTGCTGCTGTGGTCTCTACATGGAGACCTGCCTTTTTGCATAAATAGTGGGATACCTTGGAGGAGTTTTGAGCAGGGGGGGGGTGGCATGATCTGTAGGGAAAAGGGTGACTTTCTTGACATCATCACCCACTGCAGGGGTGACCTGGAGAACAAAGAGAGGCTCATTTGAAGGCCATTGTATGGAGAGAAGAGACCTGGACTACCTCACTGAGAGTAGGGATTTTTTTTTAAAGTTAGGTAGAATAATATTAAAAAAAAAGAGTCAAGAGAACTTGGTAATCACCTAGAGGAGGTTAGAATCAGAATAATTGCCTTATGCCATCATAGATAATGAAGGAAAGCTTGAAAGAAAGTAAAAACAGAAGCATGTGTCTGGGGAAAGAAAACATTGTTTGAATAGCTGGCAGCACCTCCAGGTAAAGGTAACCCATCCAGCTGTTGAAATTGCAGCAGCAGAATGCTGCAAGGAGAGGTCAGGGGAGAGAAATGTGGGATAAGTGAGGAGAGAAGCGATAGCTCTGCCCTTGAACATACTGTCTGAGGGGAAGAGTACAGAGAGAGATGCGAGAGGTTCCTCTTTTTGGAAGTCTCACAACCTAGATTGATGAGGAAGAAGAGGCCCCGCTCACACTGACAGACAAAAAGAGATAAAGAGGAGGGTGGGACACAGTTTATTTATGCCCCAGATGCAAGAGGTTGCAGCCCTGGAAAAGTCTAGAATAATTACCTCAGATCAAGGCCACAGATGCCAACAGGTAGGTCATGGATATCCTGGGGTTGCCATTTCAGGAGTGGATGAACAGAAAGATCAGATTTCATGGCAATAAGGACACATGAACTCAAGATTGTTCTTAAAATAACTTGGCACTAAAAAACACTAACAAGGTTCTGCAGACTTTACACTTGGTGATAAGCAGGTGGGGAGTTAAGTCAGCAGGAAAGGCAGCCACTAAGATGCCTCAGCTGTACCTAGCATCCTACCCTCTGAAACTACTTATTAGGTGTTTTGTTTTGTTTTTTGCTTTTTTTGGATGAAAACTTTTGTCTTAAGTCCTGTGTATACTTTTATGATAATGAGCAAGATGAATGAGTTAGTGCTATAATCAGGAAGTATGCAACCTTCTGAGCTTCACCAGAACAGAAAGTGAAAGCAAAAATAAATTTCCCCCACTCTGCAACAGCGTGGACTAAGGTAACGTGCACATGTTTCTCTTGGGTTTGTCTTAAAATCAGACTTTCCCAGTGAAAATAATGATGTGAACTGAAGGTATTGAGCTGTTATGTTGAGGAGGTCTTGTGATGAAGGAGGGGGGCAGGGGTGAACATGGTTCTACTGTATCGTGTGCAATTTAGGGTGGGACTTGATTTCTTTCTGCTTCACTGACTCACTTTTTTTTTGGAGATCTTTTTGCCTTTCTCAAATGTTTGTTGCAATGTTCATATCTTCAATCCCTGGGTGTTTTGTTCACTGCAGTGCTATTGAAGGTACAGTGCAGTATAGTAGAGCTTCCACTAGATCATGGCTCACAGAGCTGTTTTTGAATTAGCCCCAATTCCTTTTTTTTTTAAAGCTGTTTGTGTAGCAATTTACTGCTTAAAAAAAATATTTATGTATTTATACATACAAGAACTGGGGTGTAAGCCAGAGGTGCGGGGTGGGTGGTGGTGGTGGTGGTGAGAGGATTCACCAGAGAGAGTGGGGAGCAGAACAGGCAGACTGACTGAAATACACTGCTGAAGGGAGCAGCCATGGAGACAGGAGAGGTCCACTTAGCCATATGGTTTGCTCCCTGGCAGGCTGGGCATCTAACTCCTGCTGCAGAGGCTGACAGCCCTGTCTTTAACCCCTGTGCCACCAGGGAAGCCCTCAGTCATGATTCTGATTCAAACTTTCTTCTTTCTGGAAACTAAAGATTTGTACTACCTGGACTTTAAAGTCTTTGCTAGTTCTAAAGTTAAATACTGTCTTCATTCCTTTAACAATATCTATTGCTCTGCATTAATGTTTAATATTGAAAAACTAAAGTAATTGTATAATTAATTCTGAAGAATCTGTTAATGATTAAAAAAGAAAAAGAGTCATGCATGAGTTTTAGTTGGAACAGAAAAGAGGTAAGTAGATTCAGAGTTGAATCATATAACTTAACTATATTGTTTGGCCTAATTTTACATGTTTTGCAGCTTTACCCTTGTAATAAAAAAAAATTGTCTTAAGAGACAGTGAGTTCGATTTGATTTAATTGTGTTTTCAAAAGTAGCCCAAGATGAAAAAGACCAAAACAATTTAAAAAATATTCTCAGTTAGAATATTATAAAATCAAATTTTATTTCCACGACTTTTGATATATTGGAGGCAAACCAAGAGTAAATGCCTAACTTGACAACCATCCTTTAGACCAGCAGTTATAAAATTAAGGCCCTTCAGATAATATTATTCGATGTAATATTATTTATTAAATTAAGGCCATTCAGGTAATATTATTCAATGTAATTATAAGTGATAATATCTTGCATCCAAATAGTATAGAAAATTCTTTATGACTCTTTAAAACAAGACAGACACACCTGTGCAGTTTTCCTTTAGGTGTGCAGGCATGCTCTTAACATGATGTAGCCAAATGTTGAAAACAACCCACATACACTGAATTTACTCACCTGCCTTCTGTTCATTGCACAGCAATGCAGAGGGGATCCTTTCAATGCAATTTTAAGGCAGAGTCCTTTTATTTGAGCTTTAAAGGATTTTTATTCATAGCAATCAGATGGTAGCTCACTTTCACTTTTTTTTTAAAGATTTATTTATTTATTTATATAAGCACTGGGTACAGTTAGAAGCGCGGAAGGGTGAGAGAATTCACCAGAGCCAGAGCAGGGAGCAGAACAGGCAGAAGGACCGAAATACACTGCTGAGGGGCGCAGCGGGCGGCAGGAGAGGTCTGCGCGCCATGTGGGACCCTCGCCCTGAGGTCGGGGATCGAACTGGCACTGTAGAGGCTGCAGGCGGCTTTGCAACCCAGTGCTCATCCGCTGCACCACCAGGGAGGCCCAACTTTCTCATTTCTTATGTGAACATTGGGTCTGATTCTGACAGAGGGCAGGTTTTCTTAATTTACATGTATCCTTTTATTTTTAACATTTTTATTTATGAATTGGAATATTTTTCTTCATGCTAGAATATTTTTTTTTTCCTTCCAGGTTTAATCCATTGACTGAAACTTATCCTTTGTGACTTAACTGGAGCTAATAGAGTGTGATGGACAAGATTAAGCCTGGATGTTAACTTGTGTTCTACAGAAGACATTTAGCATTCCATTTTCCTGCAATGGTTAATTCACACAGAAAACTAATATTTAATGTTTACATCAGATTTTACTACTCAACAATCATCTTGCCCCAAATATGCCTTTGTTCTCAGCTCTCGATGTTGCCTAATGATCAGCCCAGTACGAACCCTGGGCCTTTCCATGTATCCACCAATGGAGAACAATTTCCTTGGCATGAGCTAAGGCTCCCAAGAGTGGTCTTTCCCCTACACTATGAGCTTTATGTCCACCCAAACCTCACCACCCTGGACTTTGTTGCCTCTGAGCAGATTGAAGTGTTGGTCAGAGACATCACTCAATTTATCATCTTGCACAGCAAAGATCTTGAAATCACAAAGGCCACCCTTCATTCAGAGGAAGATGTGAGATACAGGAAACCAGGAAAACCACTAGATGTTTTGAGTTACCCTGCTCATCAACAGATTGCACTGCTGGTTCCAGAGAAACTTATGGCTGATATGAGATATTTTGTGACTATTGACTTCCAGGCCAAGTTAGCTGAAGGCTTTGAAGGGTTTTATAAAAGCACCTATAGAACTCTTGGTGGTGAAACAAGGTAAGATATTGCTCCAGCTGTTTAGACTCTTGTAATACTTTCTTTCTGGGTTACATCTCTGCTAGGAGCAGGCTTCAGTGGTCACTTACAAAAATGCAATAAACTCTAGAACCTTGAAAGAGAAGCTCTACCATCCCTTAAGGAAACCACAGTAAAGTTGGGGAGGTAGGATGCAAAGGCATAAACAGCCAAAGTGTAAATAACTAGGAGGAGAAACCAATAATTGTCTGAGAAAAGACATACATTTTTGTGCTGGAAAAGAAGGTCTGTGAAGAAAGAGTTGAAATGGGGAAGGCATCTCAGTGGAGGTAAGTCTGATCTGGGACCAGAAGGAAATGTAAGTGAGATCTGGGCTGAGAGGAAATGAAAACGTGCTTTGAAATGGCATACCTTTGATTCAGAAAGCAGGAACAAGTCTGTATGAAGAATTGAAAACAGTGCTCTCTCCAGCCAGTTCAAGTTTATTGAGCACATGTTGTGTGGCAGGCGCTGTTCTGAGCACTGAAGGTACAGTGGTAAGATATAGTGGGAAAATAAGTTAAATGGACAAGGTAAGCAATAAATGCTGTGAAGGAAATAAAACAAGGTGTTGAGCTCAAGAATAAGTACAGCAGGGGATTGGTACTCATTTGGCTGAATGGTCAAAGGAAGTCCTTTCCAAGGAGGCACATTTAAACTAAGACCTACCTAAATTTTATTTTAAAGGAGACAATCATGATGACATCTTTAGAAAAGTGTCTCCAGAAAAGGGAGCAACAAAATGCAAAGGTTGGAAGGTGTGATTGATTGAGAATAGAAAGAAGGCTGGCGTGGCTTGAGGAGAGTGACAAGGAAAAGAAATAGAGTAGAAAAGGGTCAGATCATGCAATAACTTAGGGCCGCTTGTAAAGAATTTAGGTCTTTACTCTGGTGGTGTATAAAAATCTAGTGTCTACTGAGGGTGCTTTATTAAAAGGAAAAATAGGGCCTCCCCTGATGGTGCAGCGGTTGAGTGCTGGGCTGCGAGGCTGCCCGCAGCCTCTGCAGCTCCAGTTCCTTCCCCGCCAGCGAGGGTCCCACAAAAAAAAAAAAAAAAAAAAAAAGGAAAAATAGAAGAAAGTATCCATTTAGGAGTCCATCTCAGTAATTCAGGCAAGCAATGATCATGGCTTGGGCCGGGTTAATGCAATGCTTATGGAGTGAAGTGATTGAAATTGGCATGTGTTCTGGAGCATGAAACAGACAGAATTTGCTTACATATTGGTAATGTGAGGAGAGAGAAGGAGAGGAATCAAGCATGCGTTCTCATTAAGGGTCTATTCTATAAGAGAAGAGGTGTCTGACTTCAGGGCTTTCCCACCTTTTATCAGGTGTTTTCAAGTGTCAGTTAAAAGAACCCAAATATAATAGTTTAACCGTGTAGGGGGCTATTTTTCTTATGCATCAAGAAATTCAGAAGTAGGACAACTCAGGTTTGTTACAATGCTCCTTAGCATTAGCAGATCCCAGGCTTCATCTTTCTGCTCAACACCCTTGGCATATATATAGCTTTCTTCTTAATACATGATGATTTCTGCCTCTCTCAGCACTCGGTTTACATCCCTCACAGGAATAAGAGGGAATGCCACAAAGAAAAGGCAAAAAGATATATTCCAGCTGAGTCTACCTCCTTTGACTAAGTTTCCCTACCCAGTAAGTTCAACTAGGCCAGAAAGATAGGCTACACTACATTGTAAGAGAGTCTGAAGCAGTGATTCTTCCATGTGGACAGATGCCTGTCCAGATTCTGTGAGATCTGAGAAAGGGGAACGGATATTGGTAGGCAACTTTAGCAGTGTCCGCTGCATGCTACTATTCTCCTCCCACCTTAGATACTTACTGCCCATTGGGGGGTCACAGGCCCACCCTACAGCCCTTGGCAGTCTACTTTGGACAGTCCCTTGCCGAGTTCATTCATTACCCTCCCTTTGGGGATGTTCTTGCTCTCTGCAGCCTCAGTTCTCAGGGTCAGCACAGATTGGATAGGAAACTTATTAAGACCTTCGCTAAGTCACCTTGTAACCAGTGGTGACTTCTTGCATTTTTTCAAGTGATAAAGTCTCCTTCCCAAGGAAATAATCTTTAGAATAGCATTTTGGGAGACATGAGAAACTACAGGGGGAGATTTTTTTTGGAATAAGAGCTGGAAGTCTTTCCAGAGTGCTTCCCAAATTAGCCACAGGCCATTTTTCACTCTTAAGATTAGTCGGCTCTCTTCATACCCAGGCACCTGGTAAGTCTAGCATGTAGGATGATTCACAGGACAATGTCAAGTGAATCTTGTGAATCTCTCTCACATACACATACATTATATACATATACACACACTATATATATATATATATATATATACACGCACACATATACATGCACACACTACCTTAATCTAAAATACAAACATAATTCAGTTAATAATAGTTCTTTGAGAAGCAGGTCATTGTTTTGTGTGCAGAGCTAAAATTACTTGTGTAAGTAGCAAAGAAAATCTTAAAAATGTTTGGTTTTTCCAAAGTATACTTACTATAATCAAAATTTTAAAGTCGTAAAAGTTATTCCATACCCTTGGAATTCCTTTACATTTGTACTACCTGCTACCAGGTCCAAATAAACCCCCCAAAAGTCCCAAGCAAATCATTTAACTCTTTAGTCTCTTTTCTCCAGTCTCTATTATAGAAAGAAAGTAAAACTGAGCAAAAATTTCTTGATAGTTCTTTTTCCCTTTTGACCCTTCTCATCCTTTTTCTGACCTTCAGCCTTTCTATTTTTCCCTTCTTCTCCAAGCAAAATCTGCTCTCCAGATTTACTTCTTAATTGAAGTTTTAAGTCCAGAGAATAAATGAGTAATTTTACATTTTTGTGCATTATCAAAGTGATGAAGTATAGAGATTTGCCAGAGTACCTATCTACCTGCATATTTTAAAGCCTGGAGCTGCCTTGAAGAGAAGAGAGAGCTATTAGTGTTTGGTCCCCCACAAAAACCAGGGGCTGAGAATGGTACCAGGGTAAGAGTCAAGAGTGAAGCCCTGCCTCCTCCAGTAGGGAGAACCTTAAAGGTGTCATTTCCAGTCCAGAACTTCAAGGATCAAGGTGAAGTAGACACCTGGTCTGACTTCTTCTTTTTCCCTGCTCTTCTTCCCTTACTCCCTTACTGATTTCTCTTGGCAACATGTTCTAAATCAATCAGTGTCTGCTCCCTGGGGGCACAACTTAAGACATCACTCATATGTGTAATTTTTGAATGTCTGGTTGAGACCCTCTGGTTTAGAGATGGCACTGACTGATAATTCATGATCAATTTTGAGGTCAAAGGGACTGGGCATGCTTATCTTAGTAATTTACTGGCTAAGGTTACTAGTAAGATAACCAAGTTCCCTGAGCCTCAACATCTTTGTCTGCAGAGAATCAAAAGAGAGTTGCCCTCTAAGTTATTAATGTTTGGCAACTATGAAATACAATTTTCCCTTCATACTTCCATAGAGAGTCTGGGTTCTCTAGGATTATAGTTTGAGCAATAAAATATATTACCTACAAGTAATATTCCAAAGGCACAAGTTCATTTTTTGGTTTTGTTTTATTTTCGCTTGTATATTCTGACCAGGGATTGGGGTGGGGTTGCATTTTTTTTTTACAGAACAATTGCAGTAACAGATTTTGAGCCAACCGAAGCACGAATGGCTTTCCCTTGCTTTGATGAACCATTGTTCAAAGCCAACTTTTCAATCAAGATAAGAAGAGAGAGCAGACACATTGCACTATCCAACATGCCAAAGGTATTGCTAAATTGGGGAATCACCTTTAAGTTGAGCTTTGGTCTTTGTCATGGTATTTTTTAATATTTCTTCTGTTTTCAGGATGTAAGCCATTAATTTGTTTTATCCATCTATATAATATATAATAATCCCCATCCATCTATATTTTAACATGAGGTTTTGTTATACAAGAATGTGACTTATATTTTTGTCTGTTTTTATGGAAACAGTGTTCTTTTAAGTCAGGGTTACTTGGCCAGCAATGAAATTCAGAATCACCTAGAGCAACACTTCTCAAACTATAATACTCACAATGAATCAAGCCAGGATCTTGTTAAAATTCACATTCTGATTCAGTAGTTCTTGGGGTGAGCTAACAATCCTGCCTTTCTAACAAGCTCCCAGGTGCTGCCACTGCTGCCAACTCAGGGAATGAAATGGAAAGTTCCTTGAGGGTCCAGTCTGGTGCACACTCTGGGAAATTTTGATCAGGACTCTACAATGAAATTTAGAAATCCTTCTTTTAAGTTCCACAGGTGCTTCTTAAATTTATTTATAAAAATTATTTATTGTGGTTATACATTTTTTAGTTGAAAGAGACCTTTGAAACACTTGGTTCGTATTTGTAACTCAAAAATGCAGAAACCCTCAAAGACGTGGCAGAACCTGAGCTTTATTTGATATTCACTAATGATGCACTTGCTATTTGTGCTGTTGAGCACAATGTAAAATATTTCCCCCATAGCTGCTTGGAAAGTAGGACAAAAATAGAGGCTCTCCTGAGTCTTCATAAGCCAGCAGGTGGCCCTATCCTATTGTCCTCATTGCCTTAGCAGTGACCCCTCCATGGAGGAAAGGGAGAATTGAGCTGAAATGCTAGACACTGAATTTCCCCAGATGTTTGTTTAATGCTGGGAAAGGTATTTGCTTTGAAATATAGGCAGAGCAGATCAAGGGAAAAAGGAACAAGAGTCCCTGTGACGCATACCCCAGTTTTTCCGTGATTGTACAGACAGCAATTTTATTAGCCCTCTCGTTTTCAGGTAAAATGATCTCCTGACTTAACTCCAGGTCTTTTTTTTTTCCTAACTAAATGTGAATTTAAAGGCAATTTAGTTTCTTTCCTTGCAGCTTTTTATTAATATAATTTTTCATATGATAATCTTGGAGGGTAATGTGAAAATTTCATTGGTAAAGATTTTTAATTAAACTGTGATGCAAACACAAGTTACCATTTCATTTTTGTATTAGAATTGAAAATTTCTAATTTCAGAAACCTCCAAACACTTTTTATATTTAGGGAAAAGCAAGTGAATACTTCAGAAATATTTTATACAATCCCTGAATCTTTGCATTGCCTTGTTGACCAGTTATCTGGATCATACTTTTTCCCCAGCAAATACTGGGTTAACTTTCTGCTTCTCATTGACATACCCTACCCAGGCTTTCATGGTTAGCCAAAAAGGCAGCACTGGAGTAAATATGTAATCATACTCCCTGGATAATAATCATAGCACATCAGATGGGTTATGGACTCATGGGAGGAAGCAACACACACTCAGTTCTCAATGTCTAGTTAAGAATGCAACATTTAAGGGCAGTGCAGTAGCCACCCAAGCACTGGTAAAGGCAGCCTATCTTCTGGGCATGTTTTTGCTCCCTTCATTCCTTAAGGGAACTCACACCTGCTGGGGTGACACTTGTGATGCAAGCACAGTCCTGCCAGCCTTGAGAAAACAGCTAAATCTTTGTCTTGCAACAAATGTTTTATACTTGGAGCTTACATCACCATTCTGAAAGAATGTATACTAATACCCCATACGTTTCCATTTAAGGCAGTGTTAATCCACATGGATCACTCCAGATCCCTATACAAAATGCAGTGTCCATCTTTATGGGGGGAGGGAATTAGAGGGAATTTCCATCTGTCTCCTAGCCATCTCCACCACCAGTTGTCTAGTGTCATAGATTGTTGTGTCCGCATAGTCCAAGTCTTCCTCCTCCTGTCACCCTCCACACACTTAACTAAGTGGTTTTGTTGCTGAGTTTGGTCAGAAGAAAATCACAATGCTCTTTCCTCAGCATTCACCACAAGCACTCTCCTCTGCTGGAATATGTGCCCATGTAACTCTGATTGAATCAGACTCCTAAAAAAAAGGATTTTGCAGTTGGTAAAATTAATTTGCTAAGCAGGCATAAAAATTACAGCCCTCTATATACTCCTTATCTTTATTAGAGTATTCAGTCAGTATCTTCTGCTTTATCAGAACTTAGGAACTGTTTTCTTTAAATAGAATTCTATAGAATTAAAATCTGTCAAATTTAAATTTGATTTTAATTTAATTCTATAGAATCTAATAGCACAAAAATGTGCCACTTGGCAGTTTATGGTCATGCTTCAAGCTGTTTTCCCTCAAAGCAAACTAATCTTTTTCAAATACAAAACACACTCAATAAGCTTGCATAGCACTGTCACAATAAGCTTGGTTAGCACTGTCATACACACCTGAAATGTGGGGGGGGTGGGGGTGGGGAGAGGGGTGGCAATGCAGGGGGAATGATGTAGTCTAAGAGTTGTTACCAATTTGAAGAAAGTGATATGTTCAGAATAATTGATATATATATATATATATATATATATATTTAATAGTAAGACTATTGTACCATGGTGGAGACCACCCATAGGAAGAACCATCCAGAGTAAATAAAGGTACAACTTAGTGATGACACAGTGAATTTGATGGCTATAACTGACTAGTCTGTAGGTTTAAAGCCTTTTGCTTCCTCAGTAGATAGGAGAAGCTTAAATTACTAATGACCTCCTTGGCCTGACCGCTCTCATTGCTGAATCAATGAAGCAAAGATAAAATAAGACTATGACTCAAGCAGTCACACAGCGAGTGAAGAATGAGCAATGCCTTTGCAGTCACACGCTCACATCCTGTCTTGGTTCTGCCATGGAACTAGCCGTGTGACTTGGGGCAATTGAGTTAGCATTACTGAAACTGTTCCTCACCTGTGAAATAACACCTACCTCATACACAAATAATAAGAGGATTAAATATAATGCAAAGTATCTAGCCCTGGGTTGTTTCTTGTTTCCTTCTGCAACAGAGATCACTGCTTATTGTATAACAAAGGGAAAGGGACCGTTCTCCTGAACTTTTACTTAGAAGCATGGAAATTGAATTTATGCCAGTGTTAATAATAATTACATTCCTAGAAAGAAGAAGCATCCAAAATGTTTTTATGCTTTAAAGTGACAAAATAAGATTTATCATTTTGGGATCCCAAAGCACTGCATTGTGTTTTTAAGGAAGTTCAGGGACAAAGTAAGGAGGGAAGGCTGCAATGTGTGAGAAGCCATTAATCTCTTATTAGAGCATCCAGTCTCCTGGGAGTGCCAGATTTTCCTCTAATTTATCTGTCTTAAGTCATCGGTATAGTTGTGAAATATTCCAGTTTTTAAATTCTGTTCTTTCCCTTCTTGTATATAGGTTAAGACAATTGAACTTGAAGGAGGCCTCTTGGAAGATCATTTTGAAACTACTGTAAAAATGAGTACATACCTTGTAGCCTACATAGTTTGTGATTTCAACTCTGTGAGTGGCACAAGCTCTTCAGGGGTTAAGGTGAGACTGAGTTCTAATTTCAAACACGTGCAAAAAGGCCTCCCTCATGGCGCAAATGGTTAAGATGCAACCTATGAAGCTATCTACAGCCATTGCAGCACGAGATCGATCCCTAGTCAGGGAGCCTCCCACGTGGCACAGCAGATCTCTCCTGTAATTTTCATATAATATATGGTCAATATACCTCTACTGACACGCCCACTGCTCACCTCAGCAATGTACTTCGGTCAGTCTGCCTGTTCTGTTCCCCACTCTGTCTCTGGTGAGTCCTCTCACCCTCCACAACTCTGGCCTGTACCCCAGCTCTTGTATGCATAAATAAAACAATGGTTAAAAAAAAAGTGCAGAAAAGGACAGTGGACTCCTCTATTTTCTTCAAGCTTTTTCGCTTACTATAAGAGCATCATGCTTATTTTACAAAATAGAGATAGGCAAAAAATAAAATAATCACCATCACCAAAATATAGCTTCTGATATTAGTGTAAACCTTCCACCTATCTTCTATGTTTCAATATAAGAGGCTATATACAGTAACAGTAACAATATATACTAAATGTATATATTGTTTTGCTCAATTTTCATTAAATTATGCCACTATTTTTAGAATATTATAATTGCATGATACTATATTACATGGAAGTACCATAAGAATTTTTTAATCAGCATCTTATTTAAAACAATCTTATTTTTTCTAATTTGTTCTCTATAAGTTTTTCCTCAATGACAGGAGATTGTCATAATTTTTAGAATTTTCAATGTTTGCAAACGGCACTCAATAATTATAAATTTTTAAATGTCAGTAGAAACACTGAAAATAAAAAAGAATTCCTTCTCCCGAGGAACCAAACAGTAAATATAAAATCATATTCAAAGAACTATAAAATAATGCTTATAAAAATAATTCTAAAATAGCTGTTGGCATTTTAGGCTACAGAGAATTGACATATTCCTGTGGATATGCAGATATATATATATATGTGTGTGTGTGTGTGTATATACACACACATATGTATTATGAGCTTTGCATAATAAATGTATTAGGAGCTTTGCATATATATAATGAGCTTGGCACTCCATAAATATTGAGGCACTCCTGCACTTAGCTATATATGTGCATAGATAAGGTCTATAACTATACATGAGTGATTTAGAGGAAGTTACCTAATCTCCTTGTGTTTCCATTGTTTCAACTCTAAAATGAAGATGGTAACACCTACTTCATAGGGCTGGTGAGAGGATTAAATTAGACTTTACATGTAAGCATTTAGCACAGTACCTGATAAACCATTGAAATATATATTCTCATTTTACATGTTCTATGGCTCTTTGGCTAATTCAGAGCATGAAAATGGGTCATGAAATGAAAATACTTGAACCAAGAAATTTGGCAGCTTATCATTTTTTTCCCCACATTGTGGCTAGTTACTTGCGGTGGGAGAGGGTCACTGTGTAATTCAGTAAATTCTTAAAGGTTCCCCACAGCATGGACCTACATTGTATTTGAATTTGTGTTGGTGGTCATGCTTTTGGAAAGCTAGTTCTTAAGTATTAGGATATATCAGTGATGGGTTCAAGGGCACGCCTGGTATAATGAATTCATATAACTGGAAATTTATCAATCAGCACCAAGGCAATAGATTCTAATAAAAGGTGGTGGGCCAGTTGTAATTTTCCAAACTCATGTATGATTTCATACTTTACTTATGCTTAATGGTATCTAATAATTTCTTGAAAAGTGCCACCTGCCTTTCTTGGATGAGGGTTGTTAGAAATAGAATTATGCTGTCACAGAGTTCTCACCTAAGACTATTTCTGATCAATATTTCTCAGGTGTCCATCTATGCATCCCCAGACAAATGGGATCAAACGCACTACGCTTTGGAAGCATCACTGAAGCTACTTGACTTTTATGAAAATTACTTTGATATCAACTATGCGCTCCCCAAGCTAGGTAGGTTCAAATTCCACATCATTTCCTTTATTTTTACTTCTAGACTTGCTTTGCTTTCTTCCCTCTCTATATGTGATTTAAATGAAGATTGAAAGGTAAGCCCAGGACACAATCATTTATAGTTCAGAGTGGTTTTAAGTGCAGAAAATAAAGTATTTATATGAAAACTGAATAGTGAAATTGTTTTTTTCTATTATTTTATCAGATTGATATTAAAATAGCAGCATTGCCTACTAGGTTTAATTGGATGTGTTTTCTGGAGCCCATATTTTTTCTATACCATATTCGTATAGACCAGCAATCTTTCATATAAGTATATATAAAAAAGGATTATATAAACTGCAGAAAATTATTCCTTTATATGTTATTAAGAATGCATTGAGATTGGAAATTAAGCCAGGGAATATAAGACTCTAAGTATTTTTGTAGAAAACAGATAACATGAATATGGTAGTGGTAGATCTTTATAAGAGGAGATACAAATAGCCTATTTTGGTTTCAATTTTATCTCTCAAAAAATAAAAGTTGTGATTTTTAGAATGTTGCAGAACATATAAAAAGCATGACAAGTTTTATAATTTATGTAGATTAGTTTTTAGAGTTTCTGACAATCAAAAACCTTTTTTTCTCCTTTGGACTTTAGGACATACTCCTTATCATATAATTCCTCTCCTTTCCTCCCAACTTCCATACAGCTTTTCTTAGAAAAGTTAAAAAGGACCATTAAAAGACATCCCCAAGGGACTTATTCCTACAGTTCCTGAGTCTCACCATATTATTATAGTGTAGGTTCTATAAACCCCTTAGTACAGATTTACTTAATTCAGTTTACCCATAATCTGCTGCTTTCCTGTATGTCAAAAGTCAAGGAAAAAATCAATCAACAGCTATCAACTATGCTATATTGCGCATGAAAAAAATGCAACCTTGAAGATCATATGAAATGTATTTGAAAACTAAGAAGAGAAAAACTAACTTAAGGAAAAAAATAGAATAAAAACAAGCACCTCTAGTGGTAGGGACCTCTAGTATAAAATTATCAATGCAATTTAGAAAGGAGTCATTCCCACATTTGAAGTGTTAATGAATACTAATCTTTAATATTGCTAATTTATTTTTTGACCATGTTATAAATAATTGACTTTATACACTGGACTTAACCAGTATTAATTCCAGGAAAAGTGATTACAAACCAAATGCATTGTTTCATTACAAACTTGGAAAAACTTACCTTCCTTTTTAGCCAAATAGTACTTCTTACACAATGACCTTGCAGAATAAGAAAAATGAATTCCAATATTAAATATTAGCCATAAAATTTCTAACCTATATGAAGTCTTTGCAAAAAGTTATACTTACACACAGAGATACAATGTAAATAAACCTTATACCTGAGTTGCTCAAAGGTGATTAAATCTTACTTCCCCCTCCCCAGACTTTGTTAAGAAGTAAAGGAAAGATCAATATTGAAAAGAAAATTGAAGCCAGAAAGCATTAATGCCCATGGCTTTCCCCCTATACTGTCCTAGGACACCTGTTCATAAAACAGGTCACATATGCTTGAAATATTAATTCAAATATTCATTAATTGAGTCAATATCAATTAATTGAATTAAAAATTAATTCAAATATTTTTGGAGATTCCTCCTCAAAGGTATCTTTTTGTGTGTGTGTGTGTGTGTTTTTTAACTGTTATTTTTAATCCCTGATCCCTTATTTTCCCCCTATATTCCTCCTATAAGTGAAACCATCCAATATTTTTCTTTTTGCTTCTGATGTTTTCATGGAGCATAATCCCTTCTAGCTCCATCCATGTTGCTGTGAATGGCATTAGTTTACCTTTTTGATTGCTGAATAGTATTCTGTTGTGTGTATATATACCATCTTCTTGATCCAGTCATCTATTTTTGGACATTTGTGTTGTTTCCAAGTCTTACCTATTATAAATAGTGCTGTAATAAACATAGGGGTGCAGGTATCCTTTTGAATTAATGTTTTTGTGCCCTTTGGATAGATCCCTATGAGTGGAATTGCTGGGTCATATGGGTGTTCCATTTTTAGTAGTTTGAGGAACCTCCACAGAGCTTTCCACAGTGGCTGGACCGGTTTGCACTCCCACCAGCAGTGCAGGAGGGTTCCTTTTTTACCACATCCTCACCAACATTTGTTGTTGCTAGTTTTTTTAGTATGTGCCCTTCTTACTGGTGTAAGGTGGTATCTCATTATGGTTTTGATTTGCATTTCCCTGATTATGAGGGATGTTAAACATTTTTTCATATGTCTATTGGACATTTGCATTTCCTCTTTGGAGAAGTGTCTTTTGAGTTCTTCTGCCCATTTTTTGACTGAAATGTTTATTTTGTTTTTATTGATAGCCATATGAGTTTTTTAATATCTTTGTGATCAATCCCTTATCAGATGTGTGGAGTGAAAAAATTTTCTCCCAATCAGTAGGGTGTCCCTTTGTTTTGGTTAATGTCTCTCTAAAAGTCATCTTTTAAAAATATGAAAATCCTTTGTCTTTCTTTTTTGTAGAAATTAGTTCATAATCTTATGATGAATATCAAACATTTTATAAATTATTTGATACCTTCTATCTTTAAAGTTTTTAGCAGTACTGATATAAAATACAATATGACTATTTTAGAATAAATTATTTTCTTAGCAGTGATACACCCAGGCTATTTTCAGAGTTCAGTACTTTTGGAAAAAAAATGATTGGGGTCTCCCTGGTGGCCTAGGGGTTAGTCTCAGTGCTATTACCTATACAGCCTGAGTTTAATCCCCAACCAGGGAGTTAACCCACATATGGTGCAGCAGACCTCTCCTGTCTCACCCACTGCTCCCTCAGCAGTGTATTTTAGTAGATCTGCCTGTTCTGCTCCCCACCCTGTCTCTGGTGAATCCTCTCACCCCCACCCTTGCACCTCTGGCCTACACTCCAGCTATTCTATGCATAAATAAATCTTAAAAAAAAAGATTGAATGTCTATAGGTTACTTCAGCTACAACCAAAACTATATTTACAGAGTTTATTCTCCTTGGTAATGGGTACTGTTTATTTTCAGTGCAGCCTCAAAATAACATGCCAATGTTAAGAGATTCTTGGTGTTTTTGGAAAGTCTGCTTTTGTATATTGAAAGATATTTGAGGAGGAAGCAAGGCCCACTCCTGGCATGGATGCCACATAATCAAGTGTCATTGTTCCTTTTTTTTTAGATCTAATTGCCATTCCTGACTTTGGATCCGGAGCCATGGAAAATTGGGGGCTCATCACATATCGAGAGACATCACTGCTCTTTGATCCCAAAACCTCTTCTGCTTCTGATAAACTGTGGGTCACCAGAGTCATAGCCCATGAACTAGCACACCAGGTAACTGACATCTACGGCATTCTCTTAATATCATTCCAAGAGACCATTGTCTGGTATCACTGACCTTCACAAAACAATGTGTGGTCGTGTCATCTCACTTCTAGAGGGAATCTTAGGGATTAGCATACCAAATATATATGTGAAGTAACAGAGGGCTCAATTTCTAGACTATATGACATTTTATCAGAAGAGAATTTTATCACAGTAGAAGTGGCCACTATATCCTTTAAAACTCTTTAAAGCAAAACCTTCAAATACCTCTTGGAAAGAAGGGTGGACTATAACTCTGCAGATATGTAAGTTCAGCTTTGGAAACTCAAATAGAAATATCTATTAAAAATATTTCTCCTTTCACTTCCTAGGGCTAGAAGTCCAGGGAAAAATTAATCTCCCTTCAGTTAGGAAGAGTGAGTAAATGGCCATAATGAAGTGCTTCAAGACCCAGTAGTCGTTGGCTGCTGACTGGGCAAACATAATCTCTCTAAACCTCAATGTCCTCGTCTGTAAAATTACATTAACAATAGTTCCTGCTTCTAAAAATGTTGTGAGGATCAGAAAGAAGTGTTTGTGCCTGTCATATAGTAGGCACTCAAAAAATGTTAGTTATTAATGATGACACACCACTGCTGTTACCATTTCTGCAGAAGATTTCCAAGACCCCTCCGCACTGTATTACATACAAATAGGAAATTGTAAAACTAGCTCTATGGATATCAGAGTCTATTTCCTCTCTACTTCATTTCTGAAAATTCCCAGTAATGTTCTGAATTATTAAAAGCACTGGAAATTCTCCTTCACCATGTAGGAAAATATTCCATTGTAGAAAATAGTAAAAACTCTTATTTTTTTAACTTTCAACATTATCATTGCTATATTAATTAGTTCCTCTTTAAAAAAAAAAAAGCACCTACCTAAGCACCCAATTACATTGGAGCCATACTTAGAACTATACTTTGAGAACATTGAGCAGCTTCCTTTGGTTTAGAATCTCCCTGCTGGCCCATTTTAGGAGGATTGATCATTAGTCACTGGGGACTCTAAAACTCTTAAGAGAGTCTGGGGATTCATAATCTTGCTACCCAATGTTTGTATGGAAATGATAGGAGAGATGTGACTCTGACAATCCATGCTCCCTCTGGGTCTTCCATTAACAGCTTCTCTTTCATGAATATTTCAAAGTCTAGGACTGAAGTAGCCAGCAACTTCGAAATTTTTGCTCTGACTATTTTGGCATACCACTGGTCTCCATATAACTATGACACTCCTCTGTGTAAAACACTAGTAAAGATGTCCAAGGTCAACTTGGTGAACATCAGGATTCATAGGTTGGCATACAAGTCCCCCATGACCCGGCCCTTCTCCACTGCTCCTGCCTCATCTCTTACTAACACCCTAAGCTTTAGTCATGCTGGCCTGCCTGCCACTTACTGAACATGCTAGATTGTGCCATCCTTTGTGTCTTTTTCTTTTTAAGGATTTATTTATTTATTTGTTTGTTTGTTTGTTTGTTTGTTTATGCATAGAACAATTGGCATGTAGACCAGAGGTTCGGTTCGGGGTGTGGGGAATATGAGCAGAGCCACCAGAGACAGAATAGGGAGCAGAACAGGTGGATCCACTGAAATACACTGCTGAGGGGAGACGTGGGTTGACTCCCTGGCTGGGGATCGAACTCAAGGCACAGCACAGTGACAGTGTGATAGCACTGAGACAACCTCCTAAGCCACCAGAAAGGCCTCTCCTTTGTGTCTTTGTTTTAGCTATCAGATCTGCATAGAGCACACCCCACTTCCAACATTCCTGGAGGACTTGCAAGGCTCAGGGAAATAATAATTTTCTGATTTTCCTATACACTATGCCATCGAGCTGATTCTTTACTCCTGGAATCCCCTTTGTACAGGCAATGATCACAGTGTCAGTAGTGCTTATTGCATGTATTTGTCTATTGGTTTACCGCCATCATTTGTATTGAGGCAATGACTGAATTATATACATCTTTGTATTTCTGATATATAGTATGGTACCAGGATCATTGTATGTTCTCAATAGATATTTAATGAATGAATGAAAAAATCAGTCTTACTAAAGTGAGTAGAATCATCTCAGCCTATGCTTCTCATACTCATTGATTCTCAAATCGAGGAAACATTTGTCCCTTCTCACAGATGCCCTTGAGAAGATTGGCACCTACTTGTGCAATGAGCTAAGGGTTGCCAGAAAAGGAATAGTGCTTAACCAACTTCTAGAAATGACATATCTAGTGTTTTCTGCCCTCTAAGTGTAGCGAGGCTCTTCTGGATCTTAGAATCTTACTGTTTCAAGTTTTCTGTCCTGGCAATTGCAATCCTAAAATAGATGAACTAAATGCACAATATTGGATACATAAACTGAGTATACAAATAAAATATAAAAACTACATGAAAATATCTTAATATTTCATTTGTATTACAAATCAAATATAGGTCATGGGTAAATTTCTGTTTAGATTATCTTTATGCATACTTTAAATTTTATTTATCATATTTTAAATGTCAGCACTTAATTCTCTGTAGTGGCCAAATTCAATCCTGAAAGTAAGTTAGGAAAAGGTTAACACTGTTTGCCATCAGTAATAATATGTAACACAATAATATGTCCTAAGTGTGTCTTAAATGAATTCTTATGATTCTCTTAAATATACCTGCTACTCAATATAAAAAGTTGACTTACCCAACAGTGTATTTTGGTTCATATTCTCCTTAAATCCAAAAATCAAGGATAAAGTGAGATTATCTGAATTGTGTTTAATGTATAAGAAATAGAGAACACTCCAAAAATATTTCATTTCTTCCTTAATATTAAATCTAATAACTAGGAAACACTGGGAGGAAAGATGAAATTGTAATATTGGGAGCAATAAGGATACAAAAGAAAGAAAAGTGAAGCAAGCAAAAGTGGCTAGAAGAGAAGACAGGGGAATCATTTTAAGAATTTTTGCAGAAAGGGGGCCTCCCTGGTGATATAAGGGGTTAAGTCTCTCAACATACGAAATTATCAGCAGCCACTGCAGCACGAGTTCAATCCTGGCCAGGAAGCTAACCCACATGTGCTGCAGACCTCTCCTGTCTTACCTGCTGCTCCCCTCAGCAGTATATTTCAGTCAATATGCCTGTTCTGCTCCCTTCTCTGTCTCTGGAGAATCCTCTCACCATCACCCACCACACCTCTGGCCTACACCCTAGTTCTTTATGTGTAAATAAAATAAATCTTTTAAAAAAAGAATTTTTGCCAAAAGAAGTCAACAGCAAAGATACAGTAGATGCCTTAATTATTGAGACAAAAAGTGTTAATACCCATTATATTAAATATATATATATATATATTTAACTTGTAATAACTTTGAGTTTTTACCTTCTAGTGGTTTGGCAATCTGGTTACAATGGAATGGTGGAATGATCTTTGGCTCAACGAGGGTTTTGCAAACTACATGGAACTTGTCTCTGTTAGTGCTACATATCCAGAGCTACAGCTTGTAAGTTTACAATTTTATACGTCATACCATAAGTCCTAAGGAATCATCAATTTCCTATTACAATTTTCAGTAAATGTTAGAGGAAAAGCAATATACTATTGTGTCTTTGAACCTGTGGTGTTTTGTTCGATTTGTAAGATACATACTTATAATGGTTTGTCAGGGCTGCCCTGACAAAGCACCAAAGATTTGGTGGCCCAAACAATGGAAATTTATTTTCTCATAGTTCTGAAGGTGAGAAGTCCAAGATCAAGATGTAGGTAGGTTTGGTTTCTCCTGAGGTTTTACTCCTTAGCTAACAGATGGCGGCTGTGTCCTCACATGGTCTTTGTACCCACAAACCCTGGTGTCTCCCTAAAGGTCCAGATTTCCTCTTCTAATAAGTCAGGTTGGATTAGGGCCAACCCAAATGCATTCATTTTAATGCAATCCCTCTTTACAGGGCCTGTCTCCAAAAACAGTCCCATTCTGTGGTACTGTGAGCTGGGTACCTCAGATTCAAGTGTGAATTTGAGGTGTGGGAACATAATTTAGTCCACAACACAGATAATAGACTTGAAGGAGACATTGGGTCTTTTAAAGAGCAGTAAGCATAAGTTCTTTATCCAAAAACTGGTGGACAGAAAGTTCAAATAGCACAAATATATAGCTGCGTATATGAGGTGAAAGAAAAGAATATCACCATCTACATACCTCGTTATATGCATCTATAATATGCCTGCATGGCATCAGACAAGGTAAATGCTCATGACTATAGATCCATGCTCAGTTCTTGGCATTTAACTTCCACTGAGCGTGATTTCAAGTTTACTCCTTTAGCATTTCCAGAGGGCTTGTTTATATCCCCAAAATGTGTAAAAGATTTCTTCAAACTTGTCTTTTCTAATAAGCATAACGAGGTCTGAACATCACACATTAAGGCAGTTAACAAAGGTTAATTAGGTCTTTGGGGTGAACATGTATCGAATACAGTATAAACAGACATGGACTCAAAGTCAGTATCTTCTTATTTGCTACGTGCTGAATCCATGTTTATTTACAGTTTCACATATTCTCACTTGTAAAATGCATATAATGCACCTCCTTGAATGGTGTCGAAGGATTGGTGATGATGGTTGTAAGACACACAGCAATTGTTCAGTAGATGGGAGCCATTAAAAGTTTATTTCTGTAACGGGCTTGGTACATGGCAAATATTCATCCAATATCATAGTGAATGTTGGATTCAAATCTTTATGAAGTAGAGAATTGGTGAAAGGGAAATATATAAAGGGAAAGAAATATTGTGCAAGAATATTGATTGAATATTTACTTCTAAGAATATCTTTCTAAGTCAGCATGATTTCTATGGTTTTGAGGGTGTCAAATGGAATTGAAAAAATTTTCTCTCCTATTTAGGATGACTATTTTTTGGATGTGTGTTTTGAAGTAATTAGCAGAGATTCATTAAATTCATCCCGTCCTGTCTCCAATCAAGCAGAAACTCCTACTCAAATACATGAAATGTTTGATGCTGTTTCCTATAACAAGGTAGTGAATGCTATAACTAAAGGAAGCTCTACTTCAGTAAAAATAAACTGAGACCTGTAAAGTCAACAGTTTAAGAAGTTGTTTCCAGTTTACTGCTACATATTTCCTTTATTGTTTTACTTGCTGATCATTTTCCACACATTACACATGTTCTATAAAATTTAAGCTTTCTTTAAAATCACATCATGCTATATTTTCCTTATCTTCTTGTGTGTGTGTATGTGTATTTTTGTTTTATAGGGAGCTTGTATTTTGAATATGCTCAAGGATTTTCTGACTGGGGAGAAATTTCAGAGAGGAATTATTCACTACTTAAAGAAGTTCAGCTATAGAAATGCTAAGAACAATGATTTGTGGAGCAGTCTATCAAAAGTAAGTCATAAACTGGGTTATAGTAGACTATTGTTAAGCCTAAAATGTCACAGACCAGTTATGAACATTTATGAATACTCACATAGTCAGTCAACCAACACTTATTCCTCTTGCCACATTGCCAGGGTCCCTAGAAAACAGCTCTTTTCTTTGTCCCCTGGCACCACACTAAACCAGGATGCGACCCTGAGTTAGCCACGGGAGGTGAACATTTGGTCTCCTTTTCTTTGGCTCCCCTTTCATAGTTAATTCAATACTTTTATCTGCTCTTTTACCAAAATCTTTAATTTTTAATTCTTATGTAATCGTCTCTGCCTAAATTTTAAGGTTGAATTCTACTGGCTCAATTTTCCAATACTATTCTCTGCTGAGGGAAACACATCTTGTTCCCCATAGAAAGAAATCCTGCTCAATCCCTATTTTATCATACATTTGTTTCTAGAGCCTTTGTTACCTGAAACACTCTTTCTCCATTGCAGCAATTCAATTTATCTGTCTTTCCAGATCTAGCTATTTTACCTCCTCCTTACAGACTGCTTCAGACTTTACCAGTCTGTGTGGTTGCTGGCGGGATTCTCGTGGGAGATAACAAGGCCTTTGTAGGTCTGGGGTAACACTTGTGGGGTCCCAGAGAAGTCCTCAATGTCTCTGCTGGCTTGGGTAGGGACCAGTGTGTCTCATGAGGCCTCTGATTGCTCTGGCACCCTCTGCAGCATGGGTACAGGGTTTCACCAGTTTGAGTGGGCACTCATGGGGTCTCATAGAAAGTCAGGAAGTATCTTCCAGTCCGGGTGAATGCTGGCAGGGTCTTGTGGAAGGTTACTAGGTCTCTGGCCCTTCTGGCACCCCTCCCTGATGTGGGTCCAGGCTTTCACCAGTATGGGTAGGCACTGGTGTGGTTTCGCAGAAGCTCACAAGACCTCTTCTGTTCTGAGCAGGGACTATAGGATTCTTTAAGGCCAACTGTGAATGCCCCTATGTTAATCTTTATCATATCATGTTTATAACCATATAATAGGCATTATTATACCATTTTTAAATTTTTTTATTATATTTTTTACATCATTTTTCATTTTTGCACAATGTATGCATTTTCATCTTGGTTATATTCCCCATACAATTTCCACCCCCCTTATTTTGACCCTAATCCCTCCTCCCCTGACCCCCGTAGTGTGTCTCTGGCTTATAGTTGCTTGTTTTTTTTTTTTTTTAAAGATTTATTTATTTATTTATACAAGCACTGGGTACAGTCAGAAGCGCAGGAGGGTGAGAGAATTCACCAGAGCCAGAGTGGGGAGCAGAGCAGGCAGAAGGACCGAAGTACACTGCTGAGGGGAGCAGCGGGCGGCAGGAGAGGTCTGCACGCCATGTAGGACCCTCCTCTGGTGGTCAGGAGCAGCCGGGGATCGAACTGGCGCTGCAGAGGCTGCGGGCAGCTTCGCAACCCAGCGCTCAACCGCTGCGCCACCGGGGAGGCCCTATAGTTGCTTGTTGATTTTGATTTTTACTTTATTATAATTAGTCTTTTTCCTGATCCCTTATTTAGGTTTTCTAAATTCCTGCTATGAGTGAGACCATCCAGTCTTATACCATTTTTTTTTTTACAAATGGGAAAACTAATACTGAGGGAAAAATTTGCCCAAGGTCACATACTAAATGAGTGTGGAGTCATTAGTTAAAACCTGTATTCTGATTTTAAGTCCAGTATTCATTGCTTCAGTTGCATCACAGCTTCTCCTATTTATCAGGAAAGTCTCCTGTCTAACCCTCTCCTATAGTCCTAAAGTATTATTGATCCCTGATGCCAAATGAAACTGTGGTATAAAAGTGATAAATTCTTGAAGATATCTTACTCACCATTACATATCATTAATTTTCAGTCATGTCAATAGCAACTTGAGAATCAGAAGAATTATTTGTTATTTTTTACAATATCATTTAACAGCACTTAGGGAGCCTTAGTGAGTATATATGTCATATTTTTCATTTATAGTTAGAGCACAAGCACCTGGTTATTCAAAGGTCAGTTGCCAATTTGTGGATTAACTTAGGTCACATTTCAATTCCATTCATTTCAAGATATATTATTCACTTGCTATATACTACTGTGGTAGTCATTGAGAATACCCAAGTGAGGTGTTGCCCCCATTGCCAAGGAATTTGTGACGTGCTGGGGAAGGTTAGTAGGAGACTGAGTTGTCTACGTGCTAATAAGGGGCATAAGTAACATGAGCAATGAAAAAACAGAGTAGGATCTTTTCTAGGGGAAAATGAAGAAATAAAAGGAAAATTCAACAAAGTAAATCATCCCTAAGACAGTAATTCCATTTCTTTAGGAAGTGTAAATATTTTTATTTTATTTTATTTTTATTATTTTTTAAAGATTTTATTTATTTTTATACAAGAGCTAGGGTACAGGCCAGAGGCTCAGGAGGGTGAGAGGATTCAGGGAACAGAACAGGCAGACTGACAGAAATACATTGCTGAGGGGAGCAGCGGGCGAGACAGGAGAGGTCTGCTGCACCATGTGGGATTTTCGCCAGTGGCCGGGATTGAACCAGCACTGCAGAGGCTGCGGACAGCTCCACAGTGTGGCGCTGAACCCACTGCACCAGTGAGGAGGCCCAGAAGTGTAAATATTTTTAGATGAAAAGTTAATTCATCCCAATCTTGTCATGATCAGAGAATTCATGAAAATGAAAAGGCCTCTTCACAGTGACCCTAGGAAGTACCCCCAAAGCTACTCATATATATAAAACAAGAAGAGTAAATTTGGGTTATTTTCTAGGCTCACTGGGAAGATGCCTTTTATTTTCTCAAATTGCTAAGCTTGTTTCCATATCTAGATGAATTAAATTTTCATATAGTTATGCTAATAAATGGCTGCACTTAAGTCTAATATTCATATTCAGCCAACTGTCAGTGCCTAATGACAGTGCTCTTTTTACTCTTGTTTTTATAGAGTTGTTTAGAAGGCGATTTGACATCTGGTGGATTTTGTTATTCTGATTCCAAGACAACAAGCAACACAGTAAGTATCCAAAGGGACTTACAGAGTAGAGGAACCCGGGCATGTCACCAGATCCCATGTAAGTGTGGCATGTAAAGAAGCTCAGCTGTCCCTTTAAATAACTGGAGAGGAAGAGGGACTCCACAACTTTCCTTGAAACAGAGCTGCCTAGAGAAGGAAGGTTAGGGCCATTCAGTGGATGATGTTGTTACTATTATAATTTTATTGCTATAACTCAGCTTTCCCACAGCCCAATGCCAGCTAAAAATATCTCAGCTCAAAATTCTTCTGAGTGGTTCCTGCTGCATTGGCATTCTCTAGGCTTGAAAAGTGCCAAACCAAACATGTTGTTAGGTTTGGAAACAGAGTGAATGGCTTTCTTAAGCCTTTGTCTTTTTGTTTCTCTCTGGGATATAATTGAAATACTTTAGGAAAAGGACAAAAAATCATTTAAAAAAAGACAAATTTAAAGAAAAAGAGTTATAAGTTGTGGCTTTTAGAGGAATATTCAGCACCACCCACTGACCAGAAATCCAAACTCTAAGTTAGGAAGCTAAAGGTTTTATTTTCCAGTCATTGTACCTCTAGTGATATAATATTGCTCTGCTGAAATATGTAAAGCTTCCCCAAAGACATTTCCCTCCTCAGTCCCCAGGATTCCACAGTTGTTAAATGGAGAGGTTTTTTTTTTCTTTTGTTTTAAGGATCAGAAGGGAGCCTCTAGTCAAGCTCTTCCTGTTGGGTTAATGGTTCCTGCCATGTGCTAACACTCAAGCTCTCACACCCTCCTTCAGGTACTTTGCAGAGAGCAGCCCTGGGGTCAGCCTGAGTTCTCCTTTCTTCCTCCCCAAGCCTAAGGAGGTCAAAGTTTCTGCTCTTTGATTTCTCTCTTCTGTCACTTGTCATTTCAGCTCAGTTTTTTAGGAGAACATGTGGAGGTCAAAGAGATGATGACTACCTGGACTCTCCAGAAAGGAATCCCCGTGGTGGTGGTTAAACGAGAAGGCACTTTCCTCCAAGTACAACAGGAGCGCTTCCTGAAGGGGGTTTTCAAAGAGGACCCTGAATGGGGGGCCCTGCAGGAAAGGTGACCAATTTTCTTCTCTCATTTGGTTTCCCTCCTCTCGATTTGCTCATTATTTAACTAGTTTTCTATTAGCTTCTCTGGCAACTTGGTGGGATACCATTTCTACATCGAACTCCAAGGTCTGCATCTATCTTGATCTAAGCTAAGTCTTTAACAGATTTGAAGAGTTTCAGGAGGTGCAGATTGCATTGTTCAGCAGCCCTAGTTTTAGTAATTCTATTGCTGCCTTTTGAGCCCCGGTGCTGATGCAGAGGGTGATTGGTTACATTTCTTTTGTAATTTACCCTGACTCTTCAATATGACATTTCTTGGCTCTAAAAAGTGACAGGTCCATATCTAGGAAGTGTTATGACATCTAAACATCTTATCACAAGAGAAAAGATATTCCCTGTGTGATAAATTTGATGCAAAGACCTCCTGTTGCCTTTTGTTATTCAGTAGTAGACTAGAAATGTAATGTCTTCAAACATATGATGTTCTTGGTAATAATGAAAACAAATCCAATTAATCATACTGTCATCTTATTTACCAACCCATCCTGAGAAAACTTGTTAAAGGCTTTCCTGAAATCGAGAAACACTACATTGTTCATATTTCTCTCATCTTTTATTAGTCCTATCAGTAAGATAAATGAAGCTATTTAAAATGTAATAATGCAAGTAAATCTGTGCTAGTACTTATGATTATTTTTCCTTAGAAAGACAGGATCTAGTGTCTAATGACAATTCTAGAATTTTTCTGAGAAGCACAAAGCAAATTCAAGGTCTGTGTTTCCATTTATTTCACCAGGTACCTATTTCCAATCTAACAGCAGCTCTTACACCATTTTCTATGCACACACCCTTCTATTTTTCTGTAGGTCCTTTTGAAGTTTGAACCTCAGAGAACTCAGACTATTTGTAACTTGGCAACTCAGCCTGGAAAATTTAATGTTTGATTCATTACTGGCAAAGCAGGACTTACCATTTTGAAACTTACCAAAATGTCACAAGAGAGTTGACTAGTATGCATGGCCCAGAATAACAAATTTGTGTCATAATGATCTTTCTCCTCTATCTGCTCTGATCTGTTTTGATTGCTATTATAAAATTATTACCCTCTGATTCATATCTGTCCAAACTCATGAAATGCTACTGACTCTGTCTTTATTCCTAGGTATGTTTATCCGGAAAAATCCCTTTCCTTCTAGAGTCAAGATTCCATGCAGGAATCTCAATCCATTATGTTATAGCAATATCTATGTTTCTATTTTTACTTTTTTGTATAAATACTTCAATTGCTTTGTTCATTATCTGAGCTCTGTGGATTAGCAGATTATTTCTGCTGACCCTTTATGATAGAGAGTTCATGTACATTGTTTACTTCATTAATTTATATTTTTCCAGAGAATTAATGGGTGCTTCCTCAATTACTTTTCCTTCTGGTTTATATCTGTTCGTGTTATCAGGGACATGATTTTACCTGTGTAGGCTTATTACAGCTAATATGGACTGATGTAATAGAAGTGAATTTTAGAAGCTACTAGAAAGTTAGAATAAAAGGGCCATTTTCTGCTTACCATAGTAGGACAATTGAAAAAAGATGGAGGCAGTTTCACCTAATCCATTCTGCTTTTCTGTTCCCTGAATTTGGCCGACCTGAAGATCTCAGTCTGTAGTATTGTTAACTGCTTACTCATAGTCACTCACAGTTGCGGGGTGGATGTGTGTTGTTTTACTGAACAAAAGGGTAAGTGGGAAATTATACTGAAGTAAGAGCCTTACCTCTTAAGCTTTTCCTACCACTTTGGTTTAGTTATTTGAATTAGTATTAGGCTGTCAGTTTTTGGAAATGTGAAAGGAAGATTATATGTTTTGTTTTGTTTTTTATTTTACTTAGAAGAAAACAGAATTTGTTGTGGTATGAGATTTGGAGATCAGATGGCCCAGGTAATTGTGACAGTTCAACTAGATATATATTGCTGGACCTTCATCATCATCATGGAAGAATTTTGCATACTCAAGGATCTGTTAGTCTAAGCTATAAAATTTATAAGGCTATGTCTGACATTGTGACGTATAACTATTCATTTAATCTGTAATGTTCTTCCTAACACAGTTATCTATGGCATATCCCATTGACCTACTCCACCAGTGCCTCTGATGAGATTCACAGACATGTTCTTAAATCAAAGACAGGTAATGATCTAATTAGCCGAATAGGTGTTTTCCAATGTTGAAATTAAACATGTTCTGGACTACTTGGAGGAAAGATAGTGTAAGTCAGTCTAATAATAAAAGATTAAAATCTTCTAATAATTAAAAGAGTAAAAGATTTGGTAAGTTCTCATTTATCCATACACAACTACTAAAAGAATCCTACAGCTAGAAAGCCTGGATTTTTCATTCAGTGGGAATTTATGTGCTTCTAGCATTTAGATATAGGTTTGTACTTATATCAAGAAATGATGGCATACTATCTTATTTCTTCTTATGTCTTTTAATACTTACAATCCAGCTCTTACACCACAAGGGAAAAAAAGTATAGTGAAACAACATGCACATTGGAATTGATTCAAATCCTCACTCTATCATCCATTGGATGTAAAGAAAATTTCTGAATTCTTCCTGAACTTCCATTTTCTTCTCTTATGTTGACTGGGGACTACATCTCATAGTGTTATTGAGAGAATATGATAATTATAATTTTTTTTACCACTTTGTATAGTGTCTGTTGTATTGAAAAGGCATAATGTAATACTTCCCTAAAATTTGAGAGGGTTTTCATCAGAATGTCATGTCCTCCCTATAGTCTTTAATTTCACCTAAATAAAGACTGAATAAATGAGTCATTTCCATATACATATTTTTGTAACCAATAACTAAACCATGAGCTAAGGCTGCAGTAAGTCAGATCAAATTCCTGTCATGCTCATCATCTGACTTACTGAACACATGCATACCTCTTAGAACCTATACACTGTTTTTGAGAACAAATTTAACTATCCTTTCCTGTAAGTTTATTTATTCATTTAATAAAACCATCTTTCTCCAAAGAAACCACCCAATGGACTATTAAAATTAATAGCATGATTCTTCTAAAACTTTGTCTTCCTATTGATTTATCAGTAATAGTTTAGAAACTAAAGGTTTGGTAGATGTTCCTAGTTTGTCTGCTGATAATGAAATGTCTCTGTCGACTTTCTCTTCTTAGATATTCTGGATTTACCTGAAAAGACCAGTTGGGTGAAATTCAATGTGGATGCAAATGGCTACTACATTGTTCACTATGAGGGTCATGGATGGGACCAGCTCATTATACAGTTGAATCAGAACCATACACTTTTCAGACCGAAGGACAGAGTAGGTCTGATTCATGATGCATTTCAGCTAGTAAGGTAATACAAAATTTAATCTGATTTCATTAGGAAATGACTAATCCATAACAAGATATGCTGGATTTCAAAATCAAATCTTCTGGGTTGGTCATGCATATGATATGGATCTGAATGGAGGTAAAATACTGGTCACTAGGCCAAAGTGTACACACTGATAAGGTATTTTGGACCATGTAGTGTTTTAAAATTTAATCCAACCTTTTAAAAGGTAGAAAATTTACATAAACATTCTAACTGCTGGGGTCTCTTTAAACATGAGAAGATTTGGAAATTGTAAGTCTTCTTTTCCACAGGGAAACTGAAGGGTGCTGTGAGCAGAGTCCCCTTTAAGCCAGGCCTGCTCTCTCATGCACCTGCATCCCAAATTGTTCACAAAAGTGACCCATTTCACTTACTTAGGATGAACTCCCTAGCCATTTAAAAAAAAAAACTTTTGATGTCAAATTTAAAATTTGTTTATACTAGTAGCTTGCTGTTTTACCAAAAATCTATGTAATCTGTCAAACCAAAAGTATAAATACAATCTTAACCTTTTCATTTTCAATGAGTTATTAGCCTAGTGCATAGCCCATTCATTATTTTGTTTACATGAGAAATCAATAGGAAATGGATAGGAAATGAAAGAGGAATTGGCTGCTTATATTTGTTCTCCTTTGGCCTTTCCTGAGAGGCAAATATTTTCCTTTCTTTTTCACTTATCATCAACAGAAAATTATGCAGAATAAATCAGGTCACAAACTTACCAATGTGGGGGAGGAAATTGGGGTTAAGGTAGAATATTATGTATCGTAAGATTTCCTATTCTGAGAATTATTGTAATGTACTAATTTTTATTCACTGTGATATGTATTTCCTTTCAGATGCTTATTTAATGAGTGAAAGTAACTAGCAGGACATCTCTCAGGCAAAGCTTCTCTGTAATGCAAAATTTCCTTGTTAGAAAAAGGAGAGGAAAAAGGAGAGGATTGAGATCTTAATCCTCAGTCTCATAGGTCTAAGGAACATCTTGGTGGCAAAGCACATCAGAAACCAGGATTAAGAATAACACTCTTCTATGCATGAGTGGTACATGATAGACTAGAGAAGTAGGCTATTGTTAGTTGATGGAGGTTTGTCTGCTTAAATGACAAACTCTGAGTACATTACAGAGTAAGTAGATTAAAAATATAAGACTAGGAAGAATGAAGAATACTGACAACTCAGCAAATAACAATCAGTTTCAGGTTCCCCTCACTATCCAAAAGTAGGGTGTTCCCTGTGAAAATGTTTGTAAGTAGAACTGGTGCAAAGTGAAAAAGCAGTTGCTATTCACTTACATGGAATTTTTTTTCAAGAAAGTTTTTCTCTTTTTTTTGGTTAATTTTTATTTATGCATACAAGAACTGGGGTGTAGGCCATAGGTTTGGGGTTGGGGAGGCAGGGAAAGGATTCACCAGAGACAGAGTGGGGAGCAGAACAGGCAGATCTACTGAAATACACTGCTGAGGGGAGCAACGGGCCATTCAGGAGAGGTCTGCTGTGCCATGTGGGTTGCTCCCTGACTGGGGATCGAGCTCCTTTCGCAGTGACTGGAGATAACTTGATAGCTCTGAGACTTTAACGTCTGGGCCACCAGGGAGGATCTGGAATTTTTTTTTATAGTTCCCAGCCCCTAAAATAGCATATCAAATCATACTAAATAGCACACAATCTAAGATAACACTAACATACAGTTAAAACGAGAGTGATAAATGCACAAACTGTATAAAGTAGTTCTGGGGAAGGAGCTTGGCATTCTCACTGTGCTGGGTACATGCAGCCTCTATAGTGACTGCTACAAGGCAAATGAAGACTTTTCACTTTTTGGCTTTTGTTGTAAGAGGGGAAAAAAAAATCCTCTTGACTTTCTTTCAGTTACTTAAAAAGGTACTAATGTAGGTCTTTCATTAAGTGAAGTGATATATTTCAACCTTTAAAAAGTAGGGACTACCTATAGTTGAAAGTTTTTGGTTTTTGTTTTGCTATTTCTGGCTTATAAATTTATGGGTAGTCTATAATTAAATGAAAGAAGCCCTATGATTATTGATACAACAGTGAAAAACCATCTTTTCTTTACTTTGCACAAGTTAATGAATCTAAGGTACAAAATTTCATTTAAAACAGATGAATTCAAGTATTACCTCTTCAATTACTTAACTGTTTTAAGCCTATTTTTTTTATTCTTTTAAATTCCAGTAATGATAATATATATCATTACAGGGTTGTTTTGAGGATTGCTAAGATAATGCGGATAAACCACTGAGTATTGTACCTGGTCAATAAATTTCAACTGTTAGTGTTACTAGTATTACATAATAAACATTGTCTTAAAAATCTCATGTTGAGTAGGGAGATGAGACAACATAGAAAACTGCATTTCAAATAGTGAGAAGCTGCAAAAAAGCAGAATGTGACTTTGTATATTATTATGTTTGCAATTACAGTGGGAAAAAAAATAAGTTAGTGTTGGGGGGAAAAAACAGAAATATTCCAAAGGCTATTAGTGAATGTGTAGGGTAGTGAAATGATGATTCTTTCCTTCCTTTTCTCTGATTTCCAATTGTTTTGTAATTTGTTTATATTATTTTTACATTAAAAGTAACTTCATAAGAAAAAAAAAGTAACTGCATAAGGAAACAATTTAAAACTCTCATATTAGATTTAAATATGTTTACCTGCTACTCTTCCTCCATAATACATGTTTCTTTCCTGCCAAAGTTGTGAAATATCTACTTAAGAGTTAAAGGAAGTAATCAGTGGTCACACATGGTTTGGAGACAAAATTTGACCCAGGCATAGATATTTATTTTAATTTGGTTTTCATACTTTTAAAATATAATTTAAGACTTGGATTTCATCTGAGTTGAGCAGAATTAAAATGACAAGTTTAATTTTATTACAGAAAAATTGTTTGTTTTCTTTAGTAAATCTTAACTTTATTTAGTACCACATCTTAAGTTGATTCCTTAGGAATATGGTTTCTTTTTTTTCCTTCTTCACAAAATGCCACTTAGCTGAGACTGTATTCAAATAAGTAGATATAGATTTTTTTCTTTTGGGCTGAAATGTATGTTTACACATGTGTTTAATCTTTAAACAAACATTGACATAACATTTTGTACATTGATTGAAGCATAGGGGCAGGTGGTAAGAAGCTGTATTTTAAACAATAGCTATTGTATATAAAAAGAAGAGTCCTTTTTTAAAATGAATATTATGATTAAATTTTTTCCAAGTTGACAAATATAAAGGTTTCTAATAATAGCACTGGTTTTAGTTAGAAATAAATTAGGCTGGGCAAAAAGAAAAAACAGGATTAACATGAATTTTGTGAGTTAAAATATTTTAAAATTGTGAACCTCAAATATAATATACAATTTCTTCCTGTTGCTGATCCACTAATGTATCAACTGTACAATATTTTATACATAACCCATGTGGGAAGGAATAATGACATGTTATGGATTTGTTCCCTAAAATATAGCAGGCTGGGGCCTCCCCAGTGGCGCAGCGGTTGAGCGCCGGGTTGCGAAGCTGCCCACAGCCTCTGCAGCGCTGGTTCAATCCCCAGCTGCACCCCAGCCACCAGAGGAGGGTCCCACATGGCGCACAGAGCTCTCCTGCCGCCCGCTGCTCCCCTCAGCAGTGTACTTCGGTCCTTCTGCCTGCTCTGCTCCCTGCTCTGGCTCTGGTGAATTCTCTCACCCTCCCACGCTTCTGACTGTACCCAGTGCTTGTATAAATAAATAAATAAATCTTTAAAAAAATATATATATATATAGCAGGCTATGGAATCATAGAGCACCTGGTCCTGTCCTTGGTATTCACATGAAATTTTTGAAAAATTTTCCATAAGTCTGTTTTAAAGTAGTATTACATTGTGACCAAGAAGCACAAATTCACAATATAAGTTGTTTCTTTTTAATTTCACTTCTTTCTAATCTCAGTCCCTCTTTAAAAAAGAATTAAAATATTTTATTTATTTATTTGTAATTGAAGTAATATTTGTATTACCCCCATCATGTTAAAATATTTTAAAACCCAGAGGAATTATGACATTATGTTAATGAAAAATTCAACAGAGACATCATTTGTTCTGGAATCTGTTTCCATATTAAACTATTACACTTCACCTGGGAATTTGTTGCTGGCGAGAATGGCTTAGATATCCTGTAGGACCCAGGCACTCTCTTGTGAAGGCCACTAGACAAAACCAATGCAATGGTTTATTTTCTCTCTAGAAAGACCCTAACACTTTGCTATTCTGAATAATAGCTTTGTTGTTTGTTCTTCTTATTAAAAGAAAATGTAGAGAAGGCATATAATTTTAAATCTAGATAGGAGGGAAATACTTGTTTTGTCCTTCCAACAATAATGGCTGCTTCCTTTAGGCTCCAGGAGTGACATCAAAAAAAGAAAAATCCTGGCACCTGTCCTTAAAGTTCCAAATCCACTTGGAGAACTAATTCAAACCCACAAATGAAACAATTAGAGAATGACATATGTGAAAATTTTACTTTTATTTGGTACTAAATGATATCAGCTCACATTTCATTTATAGATCTCTTACTGTGCGTCACTTTTATTAATTTATTAATTCTTAGAGCAATAGAAGATACTATTATCCTAATTGCATAGGGGGAGCAACTGAGGCACAGAAAGGTTAGGTGGTTTTTCTGAGATCACACAGCTAGTCAGTGGTAAAACAAGGATTTAAACCAATTGACCTGGAAATAATGAACTGTTCTTGGTATTGCTTCAATATTAATAATCTTACTATATTTCAATATTAATAAAATGAAAAACTGTAAGGTAAGTACAAACTTCTGACATATGTTTACAATTCAGTGCAGGAAGGTTGACATTAGACAAAGCCCTTGACCTGACTCGCTACCTCCAACATGAAAGAAGTGTTCCTGCACTTCTCAAAGGACTGGGATACTTAGAGTTGTTTTACCACATGACAGAGAGACGGAATATTTCAGATGTCACTGAAAATCTCAAGGTTTGTGTTACTTTCAGAAAATTCATTAAGTAAATACACATTCTGGAGGATCAGTGAGACTTGGTTTGTTTTGATTGAACTGTTGGGGTGAACTGTTTGAGGAGCTGAGGATACTGGCTGATGGCACAGTTAATATCCCTGCACCTAATGTCTGAGTCCCCTGGCTCCTTGTCATCTCCATCTTAAGAGCGAGGTGCCAGGATCTGGAGCAAAATATCCCTCCTGAGGTGATTTTATCTTTATCAATTGATATTGCCCTCTGAAAGGAAATTTAATCATATGTTTTAATGCAGAAACTAACTCTTTAAGTATGGTGGGTGGGGGGCAGAAAGAGAGCTATTAAGATAAATAGTTCTGTTCACGTACACAGTTTAGAGTTCAGCCCTTTCAGTTGGATGAATAAGAGCTGTGGTAACTAAATTTAGCCTCTCTGCAAACCATCCTGTGCTTTCTGCAGCATTACCTTCTCCGGTATTTTAAGCCCGTGATTGACACGCAAAGCTGGAGCGATGAGGGCTCCATCTGGGACAGGACACTTCGTTCGACTCTCTTGAACCTGGCCTGTTACCTGAATCATGCTCCCTGCATCCAGAAGGCGACTGAACTCTTCTCTCAGTGGATGGAATCCAGTGGAAAATTAAAGTAGATATAGACTTCTGTTCTCTCCTTTGTTCCTTTAACTTTGATGTTATAGCCTTTGATCAAGCAAGACATTAGATCTAAAACCTTTTAGTGAGGACAGAAAATAAAAACCATGCTGGGAATTATATACCCATGTGTCATGCTCCCACATAGAAAGTGCTCAACAGATTTTAGTGGGAAGTAAGTTTTAGGTCCCTATAGGGGGAAGCTAATAAACAATGACAGGGGAACAGGAAAAAAAAAAAGGGTGGAAGTAGGGGAGACCAAGCTCCAAAAGCGATGCCTTTTAAAGATAAAGAGAAGTTTGAAGAAACAGTGTAAAATATACATGAAACTAAAACACCAGCAATCATTTGTGAAACTTACAAAAATAAATATGGTAGTACTTTAAAAAAAAGTTCACTTTCTCATTGACAAATACCACAGGCTAAACCTTGGCCACAAGTTTCACCTTTGATGAGAAATGGGTGATTTGGAATATCTACAGGCTGTGTATGGTGGCAAAATTGACTCTGGTGGCTATTATTTTTAATTTTTATTTTGATTGAGGTAATATTGGTTTACAATGCTACGTAGGCTTTGGATGTAGAATTTCTTATATGTAAATATCACACCACTTTTTTAAATAGAAGAAAAATTCATAATTTCAGTACCCTGTAATATAAAGGTATAATATAATAGTGTCAATTTTTCCTGTGCCAAATTAGTATGATATGCCATCATAATTTCCATGTAAGTAAATCTTAGTGAGCTTTTTGAAATCCTTGCTTGAATTCTTTTTTAAAAAGTAATTCTAGTTTCTACTTTGGGGGCTTTTCTGCTCAAGGAGATTATAAGGCAAGAAACTGATTTTAGAAATGATATCTTTTAACTATTATTATCTTCTTTTTTCATATTTAATTGGGTAGTATGAGTCAGGCTAAAAGTATACATCCTACTGTCCTATAACAAAAAAGAAGGATATTCCATTTTTAAGCTAATTACAGGAGGGATGACAGACCTACAGTAACTATCTACGGTAAACAGGATGGTTCAACATGTTGAATAGGATGTTATGCCTCTAAAAATAATCTGGAAAATATTTGCTTATACTGTGATTCGGAATATATAATTAAATATAGGTTTTCCACTAGACTCCAAAACTGATAGTAGTTATCCTAATGAGGAATTATCTTACAGAGATTAATTGATTACTTCATTAATTAATCAAAAAATAATTCTTTGCATATTACTTCTGTGCCCAGAGCTACTGTAGGGAGTAACAAACAACTATGTGTCATACCGTCAAACAACTTAAAATATATGACTATCAATTTTCATAAATGTATGTGGTGAACTACACAAAAATCAAAACAATGTGGATTATAATTGACTATATTTATACACATTTATATGGTATAGTAAATAGCATAAGCATTATCATAGGTTTAAATTCCATCTTCAAAATGTCTAGTTATGTCACTTCATGTAATTTACTTAAACTTTTGCAGTTTTATTTCCACTTAAAAACAGTAAGGTATCTCATTGCATACCTTGATAGTTAAATAAAATGTGCAGGCACTAGTACAATCCCCACCATGTGGTATGAATAATTTTGTATTTGCATAAATGCAAATTTCCTGCCCTGTCTTTACTTCCTCTATTGGGTTTCTTCTGAGTCATCAGTGTGAATACCAGTTATTATCTATCTAACAATACTTGGAATTAAAAATCAAAGACCAAGTTAGAATCAAAAGTAGTTAATATCCTGTAGGAAAATAAAACCACCCAAACTTAGTGTTTTCTTTAAGTGGACAGAAAATAATCTTATTGCATCTTATCTGCTTTTCAGAATTATAAATGACTGAATGCTAAGTAATTAGTGCTAAATTACAATTATTTAGACCGAGAGAGTGAGATGATCTTCAGACAAGCCATTAGAAAATACTTTTTTTTTGAAGATTTATTTATTTATTTATATAAGAACCAGGGTACGGGCCAGATGCCTGGGAGGGTGAGAGGATTCACCAGAGACAGAGCAGGGAACAGAACATCAGACTGACGAAATACACTGCTGAGGGGAGCAGCAGGCACGACAGGAGAGGTTTGCTATGCCATGCGGGACCCTCGCCCTTCGGCCAGGATCGAATAGGCGCTGCAGAGGCTGCGGGCAGCTTCACACACGGCGCTCAACAGCCTGCGCCACCAGGGTAGGCCCTAGAAAATACTCTTAACATGACATTAAGGCAACAAGTACTCATCATTCTTTCAAAATTGTATAGCACCAATGAAAGTTATTTAATGATAGAATTATGTGTAAGAAGTACTTTTATATAGGGCCTCCCTGGTGGCGCAGGCAGTTGAGCGCAGTGCTATGAAGCTGTCTGCAGCCTCTGCAGCGCTGGTTCGATCCCCACCTGCCTCGGCGCAACCCACATGGCAAGCGTACCTCTCCTGTCTCGTCTGCTGCGCCCCTCAGCAGTGTACTTCGTCAGTCTACCTGTTCTGTTTCCCACTCTGTCTCTGGTGAATCCTCTCACCCTCCCATGCATCTGGCCTGTACCCCGGCTCTTGTATAAATAAAATAAATCTTTAAAAAAAAAATAAGTACTTTAATATATATTTTAGAGTCATAGCTCTCATTGATTCCATCAACTATTTTCATCTCAGGTTAAAATTTTATGATTTTTCTGCTTGCTAATATTGTATCATCAATAGAGAAAAAAAATAATTTGCAAAACAAAATTACATAAAATATTTTTATAAAAGCTTGGCAAAAAAAAAACGTCTGTTATGGTAGGTACAGAAAATAACTCAGGGATGATTCTTTTATGGCAATTTAAAATTGTTATAAGCAAAGGGAGGTTTTTCTTTCATAAATTTTTTTCTTCATTTTTGTGCTTAATATTACAGTCTTCCTACAGATGTCTTAAAGATTGTATATTCTGTGGGTGCTCAGACCACAGCAGGATGGAATTACCTTTTAAACCAATATGACCTGTCAATGTCAGGTGCTGAAAAAATCAAAATTCTATATGCATTGTCAACCAGCAAAGACCAGGAGAAATTAATGAAGTAAGTGCATTAGTTAACTAAATTTTTAAAAATTAACTGATACAAATTCAGCGAAGTCCCCACATTTTCAGTCACAAATTAATTGAGTCAGAATTTGAATTGCCTTGACTTTGTCTCCAGAAAAATATATTGACAAAATGCAAACAGAGAAAACAGTTATTTCCTAGTAATTAATCGTTTAATTTATCAAATAACTGTGCTCTCTTTTCAGAATCGTAAAGGAAAATTATTATTGTAAAAATATATTCTTGTATGTAAGATGCTAATTGAATTTTTTTGAACTAATGAATAAATAAGATTACTGCTAGAGGGTCTTCCTGGTGGTGCAAGGGGTTAAGCATGCACTATGAAGCAATCCGTAGCCTCTGCAGCACGAGTTCGATCCCCAGCTGGCCAAGGAGCAACCCTCATGGCGCAGCAGATCTCTCCAGTCTCACCCGCTGCTCCCCTCAGCAGTGTATTTCAGTCAGTCTGCCTGTTCTGTTCCCCACTCTGTCTCTGGTGAATCCTCTCACCCCCTGCACCCCACATCTCTGGCCTGTACCTCAACTGTTGTATGCATAAATAAATAAATCTTTAAAAAAAAAGATTACTGCTAGAAAAAAGTAACTGCAGTGTTTAAAATATTAGCTAATAGGGTATTTATTAATGTTTTTGGTAAATCAAATTTTTATGATTACTCTTTCCATTTTATTCTTTTACTATATTGGTAACCTATAATTTCCATTACAAAACACATGCCATGAAAAATCAAATGGTTTTTATTTCTTCAGATTAATTGAACTAGGAATGGAAGGAAAGGTTATCAAGACCCAGGACTTGCCAGCTCTTCTTCATGCAATTGCCAGAAATCCAAGTGGGCAGCAATTAACCTGGAATTTTGTAAGAGAAAACTGGGCGCATCTCCTAAAGAAGTTGGTATTCTTTTACATTCAACGTGTGCTCTTCCACCTAGATGTCTCACTTGCTTAAGACTTAGTGTAATCAAATGTCCCCAAGGCATATAAATGATACCATTTTTAGCCTAATATCAAGATGAAGTCTGTCAGCTTTAAAACTCAATTTACCAATTTGTCCTATCCAAGTGTAAGAGAGAGGAATGAGAAGAGGGGAATAAGAACAGATTTGTCTCATTCAGTCCAAGCAAAGACTTCCTGGGAGCGAATATCAGCTGAGTTAAGTCACCAGCCTTATTCCCTTGGAGGGCTTTCCCCAGTCCAGAAAAAAATCCAGTGAAGTCATATTTGGTTCCTCAAGTTTATTTCACTTGTTTTGCTCTGTTAATATAGTTTTGATCTGGAGAAAAAATATGTGTAATTTTGTTGAGAGCTAATCTCCACCCCTGTTTCTCTCCACCTCTGTTTCCTGAGATGAGGAAGGAGAGACTTTGGAGTAGCTAAAAGAAACCCAATCAGAAATGCTGGGGGAGACCCCTTCCAAAATTGATGGGTTCTGCATTTCTCTGGGTTTCAACTATTGGAGAACTAGAGTTCACTTCAGTATATGCTCATGAGCCTAAAATGTTCCTGGAGAGAACAAACATGATTAATTTCATTGGAATGTACAAGATGGCAGTGCTTTCTCTTACAACAGACCTGTTGCAAAGGTGCTCAATCATTCCTTTTCCAAATCTAAAATGTTACTTGTGAACTACCTGCAAAGTATGCTGAATCAGAAAGCTATGCCATTTGTTCTGTTTATCTTAGTGTCAATTAGCATCTCTGATGTCAACTAGCCTGTATAATTCCTTCTTCCCACTCATTTCTAAGTTATAAAGGATTCAAAGTCCCTTCAGAAGAGAGCTTTGTATTAGCAAAAAGCACATTTACTCCCTCCTCCAAAACTTCAAAAAGTCCACATGAGACCAAAGGGTTAGAAACTGCTTAATATATATATATATATATATATATATTTCCTTAAAGAAACTAATGGAACGATTGGGTTTTTTGTTTTTTTGTGGGTTTGGTTTTTTTTTGCATAACCATCAGTTCCCTTTTAAAGTGATCAGAATTTTTCTGCAATGCTGTAGATCTGCTTTGTAACTGGAGATTGTGCTCCTGCATGACCTTGTGCAGAGCCTGGACTTGCAAACTTTTTTTTGAGGTGTAGCTGTGCTTTATTTTTTCATCTTGAATCCCTTTGACCCCACTACAAATTCTCTGTTTAAAACACTGGGTTGAAGGATGCAGTCTGATTGTGAATGATAGCTTGACCTTGTCACAATGCCTCAATAAATACATTCAAACACAGTGGTGTCCAAAATGAGATGAGACAGGGTGCAAGACAACACTTTGGCAGACAAGGAGAAAATTTTATTGTTTACCGTATATATTTTTTCTTAGGCTATTCAATTCTTTTTCATACATAACATAGTGTGTACATATAATTCATAAAAATAAAATATATTGGGAAGTTCTTATTCAAAAAATCTTTCCTGATGGCGTGCATAGTCAAAAAAGTCTAGACAACACTGCTTTGAACACAGACATCAATATAAACATGAATATAGCTGAAAAGTTAGGAATATTTCCTAAAATCCTTATCTCCATTTTTATTTTATGGTCAAATTTGATGAATTTCAGCATTGGAATTGTATTAGATGAGTATAAGAGTAATTCTTATGCATTTGGTAGGATCTATTACAGTGCAAAATTTTTATCATAGATCTATTAATGTTACATACTTTAAAACTATAACATATGGTAATAAATGTAAGGCTGTTATATCTATTAAATCTGTGGGGTTCCTTTTTTATTTTCAGATTTGACTTGGGCTCATTTGCTATGAGAATAATCATCTCTGGTACAACATCTCACTTTTCTTCCAAGGATGAATTGCAAGAGGTTCGTAACTATCGCTAACTGTTTGTTTAAGTTGTACAATTGAAAGTAAACTTGAATGTGATCTGTTTTGAAATTCTCATTTTATTAAAAGACAGTAAGCTCCTTGTCTAATGTCACACAGCAAATAAGTGGGACAAGACTAAAACCTGACTCTTAAATTATGGGCATTCATAGCATTCAAAATTAAAATTACACTTGAGAGTTAAGTCCTTTCTATAAAAAATAATAATTATGCAAAGGAAAAGAAGAAAATAAGCTTTTAAAGGTTGGCAGAGAAATGCTTGCACCTGTGTTTGTATTATTTGAAAGCTCTCTGAAAATTTTTTGTAAGAAAAAATGTTTTATAAACCATGTCAGTGACTCTTTTTTTGCCTTATTTATTTTTTTTTTTTAGGTGAAACTATTCTTTGAATCTCTTGAAGTCCAAGGATTACACCTGGATACTTTTCAAACTGTTCTAGAAACCATATCCAAAAATATTAAGTGGCTGCAGAAGAATCTTCCTACTCTGAGGACGTGGCTACTAGTTAACGTTTAAATAATCAATAGAAAGGACACATCAGTTATGGTTTTTGACAGCAAGAAGTGAGCAAAGTTCAAGTCAATGGTCTGGATGTTTTGTCTAACCAATAAGAAGCCACAAAAAAATCAGCCAATACAACTGTCTACTCTCACCTCTCAAGTTAGTTCAAATTTATAAGTACCTGAGATATGTGGAGATACAGAATCAACTGTATAAATATAGGTATAATAGTTTAGCCCCAACACAAACCTTTTCCATTGCTTCATAGGATTTTGTTTTAATGCTTTTTTAAGCTTTCCTTAGTATCTTAGTATTTTTCCCCAACCAGTTTTACCATCAAGGAATAATGGCCAATTCATTAATCTTTCATTTGTATCCTTCTATCTCATTTGCCCCCTCCTTCAAGTCATCCTGAACAGTTAATTTAATTTTTACCATTCATGAAAAATCTGATACAAACTATGAAGCTTAAAGATGAGGAAAAGGGGCCTCCCCCAGTGGCGCAGGCAGTTGAGGGCAGTGCTGTGAGGCTGTCTGCAGCCTCTGCAGCGCGGGTTCGATCCCAGCCGGCCCGCGAGAATCCCACATGGCGTGGCAGTCCTCGCCTGTCTCGCCTGCTGCTCCCCTCAGCAGTGTATTTCAGTCAGTCTGCCTGTTCTACTCCCTGCTCTGTCACTGGTGAATCCTCTCACCCTCATGTGCATCTGGACTATAACCCCGGTTCTTATATGCATGAATAAATAAATCTAAAAATCAGGTAAAGGAGACTTTGTCAGCAAATCTCAAATTATTAGAAACTAGATGTCAGAACTTATCAAGGAAGCCAGGAAGGGCTCTTGGCCTGATCCTCACTTTGATGAAGAGCCTCAAGTTTAGTTTGATGAAGTCATTTTCAGATGAAGTGAAATCTGCAGTTGCAGCAGTACAGTTGCAGCAGGCCAAGAAGTGCTCTTGGCCTGATCCTCACTTTGATGAAGAGCCTCAAGGTTAGTTTGATGAGGTCATTTTCAGATGAAGTGAAATCTGCAGTTGCAGCAGTACAGGAGGGTAATTATTATCCACACCATTTTTTAAAAATCCATGTGCTATTGCATTTTTGATAAATCTTTTGAAAAGTTTTATTTATTTTTAAACTCCTTTTTTTTTTAAGATTTATTTATACAAGCACTGGGGTTCAAGCTGGAGGCGTGGGAGGGTGAGAGAATCCACCAGAGACAGAAGAGGGCGCAGAACAGGCAGAAGGACCAAAATACACTGCTGAGGGGAGCAGCGGGCAAGACAAGAGAGGTCTGCTGTGGACAGTCTCACAGTGCTGCACTCAGCCCGCTGCGCCACTGGGGAGGCCCTCTTTTGAAAAGTTTTAGAATTAGATTATATTTTGTATAGTTTGAAATATATACAAAATATATTTTGTATATATTTGAAATATATACAAAATATATATTTTGTATATTTTGTAGCCAGTGTGAGCATCTCTTCTTGTTTTAAGGTAACCTCTTGATCTGTAAAATGTCCTTCTAGATGCTTCTTTTAATTGTTTGAATAAGACATGTGGAATAAAAAAAAAAATCAGTCTCTATATAAATGTTAAACTTAATACATTTATGGGCCTCCCTGGTGCACAAGGTCTTAAGCACAGCACTGTGAAGCTATATGCAGCCTCTGCAGTGAGTTAGATCCCCAGCTGGCCAGGGAGCTACCCACAAGGCACGGCAGACCTCACCAGTCTCGCCCACTGCTCCCCTCAGTAGTGTATTTCAGTAGATCTGCCTGTTCTGTTCCCCGCTCTGTCTCTGGTGAATCTTCTCACCCCCTGCACCTCTGGCCTGTACCCCAGTTCTTGTATGCATAAATAAACAAATGTTTAAAAAAAACAATATATTTATGATCCCACATGAGTTAAAATGAAGATATATGTAAGTTCTAGAAAAAATTGAATCACTACCCAAATAATTGACTCACCTGGGAAGGCAGGAAAAATGGGAAAGGTATTATCCAATCCATTTTAGAGTGATATGGAACCTTTTCTTAGTGCTATAGTCAGAGAGAATACAGTTTGGATGGACCGTAGGCATCTCAATGTATGTTTTGTTAAGTTTGATTTCATATTATTTCTTGGACTCTCTGAAGCATTTTTGACTCTAGTTTTTCCCTGGCCAGGGTCATACTAAAGTCTGCATATTACCATTGTTATTACTATTCTAGAATTTATTAGTACTTTAGGAAATCGAAAGAGTAAAGAGCACTATTTTCCTACTTTGATAACATGTAAATTAAGAAGAAAAATGTGTATGACTTTGGGTACAGCTGTACTATCAACATTTCCATAAATATACAAAGTTCTCTCTTTTGTATCTTACCTACCCTTTATTTCCAAGTTTTAAATTCTTTTTCTCTTAGTTCCTTATTCAAATATATCTTTGATTCTTAAGATCTACTGAAACACACTGTTGAGGGGAGCAGCAGGGGAGGCAGGAGAGGTCTGCCCTGCCAGGTGGGTTGCTCCCTAGCCAGAGGGATCAAACTTGTGCTGCAGTGGCTGGTGATAGCTTGATAGTGCTGTCTTTAACCCCTGTGCCACCAGGGAGGCCCATGTCCTCCTTGGTGAACTGTCTGTTCAAATCTGCTATTCATTTATAATTGGGTTGTTTGTCATTATCGCTGTTGTTGTTGAATTGTAGGAAGTTTTTAATGTATCTTGGATATTAATACTTTATCAGTTATGTATTGGGTGAATATTTTCTTTAATTCAATGGGGTGATATTCTGCAGGGGAAGAGAAGGGAGTGGTATCAAAACAGGGGTGGGAAGAGCATAAGGAACAATGATGATAGTTCACTGGTGAATGGGTGGTGGGAATTTCACGAGGACTATGAAAATACATACATTGTATAAAAATGAATTATGATGTAAAAATATATAAAATAAAATAATAATTAAAGAAAATAATTCAATGGGGTGTCTTTCTTAAACTTCCATTTTTCTTTCACTGTGTAAAGCATTTTTAACTTGAGGTAATCCCAATTGTTTATTTTTGTTTTTATTTCTCTTGCATAAGGGCAAGTTACCAAAAACATCTTTTATCATTGATGTCATGGAATGTATTACCAATTTTTCTTCTATATATTTTATTATTGCAGGCCTAATATCAATCCATTTGGAATTTTTGTATGTATGAAGTTAGAATGATCTAACTTCATTCTTTCATGTATTAATTTCTAATTTTCCCAGCAGCATTTATTAAAGAGACTGTCCTTTCCCCATTGTATGGACATGAATGTTTTATCATTATCTCCGTTTTCAATTCTATTCCATTGATACATGTGTCTATTTTCATGGAAATACCATATTGCTTTTAATACTGTGGCTATATAGCAAAGTTTGAAATCAGATAATGTGGTTTTCCACTTCTCACCTTTTTGCTCAGGACTCCTTTTGCAATTTAAGGCCTTTTGTGCCATATAAATTACAGTATTTTTTGTTCAGTTTCTTTGAAAAATATTGCTGGCATTTTGGTGGCAATTGTATCAAATTTATGTATCATTTTATGCACGATAGTCATTCTGAGTGTATTTATTCTCCCCATTGATGAGCCTGAGATATCCTTCCATCTCCTTATGTCACTACCTAAGTCCTTTAATAACCTCTTTTAGTTCTCATTGTATAGGTCTTTTAGCTCCTTGATTAGGTTAATACTGAGATATTTAATTCTTTATGAAACAATTATAATAGAATTATTTTATTACTTTCTCTTGTTCTTGTTCATTGTTATAAAAAGCTATACGATTTTTGTATGTTGATTTTGTAAACTGCCGATTTGCTGTATTTATTATTTCTAACAACATTTTGATGGAACCCTTAGGATTTTCTTTATATAATATCATATCATCTGCAAATAGTGATAGTTTCACATTTTCATTTCCAACTTGGATTTTTTTTTTTTTTTAAAGATTTATTTATTTATACAAGCACTGGGTACAGTCAGAAATGCAGGCGGGTGAGAGAATTCACCAGAGCCAAAGCAGGGAACAGAACAGGCAGACTGACGAAATACACTGCTGAGGGGAGCAGCGGGCACAGCAGGAGAGGTCTGTCGCACCATGTGGGACCCTCGCTGGTGGCCGGGAATCGAACTGGTGCTGCAGAGGCTGCGGGCAGCTTCCCAGCCCAGCGCTCAACCACTGCGCCACCAGGGGAGGCCCCTCCAACTTGGATTTTATTTCCTGTTTTTGTCTGAGTCTCTGGCCAAAACCTCTAATTAAACATAAATGCTGACAATGGGCATCCTTGTCTTGTTCCTGATCTTAAGGGGAAAACTTTCAGTTTTCACCATTAAGTATGATATTGGTAGTTGTTTGTAATATATGGCATTAGTATATTGAGGTAGGTTTCTTCTAGTTCCATCTTATTTGGAGGTTTTTTTTTTTTTTTAGCATAAATAGGTGCTGAATCTTAACAAATGCCTCCATAAATATTATCCTATTATTTTTACCTTTACTGTTGTTGATATAATGCATTACATTATTGATACATATGTGTTAAACCATACTTGTCTTCCTGGTGTAAAATTGTTAAATTGATCATGTTGTATGACTCTGATCATGATGTATAATCCTCATGAAATGCAGCTGAATTCAACTTACTAGAATTGTCCTGAAGATTTTTGTGTCAATGTTAACCAGGGATATTGAGCTATAATTTTCTTTTGCTCTGTTTTCCGTATTAGGGTAGTGTTGGTATCATGAAATGTGTTAGCATTCCCTCTTCTTTCTTTCTTTTTTTTTTAAATATTTATTTATTTATTTATTTAGTTAGTTAGTTAGTTAGTTAGTTATTTTTATTCAAGCACTGGGTACAGTCAGAAGCGTGGGAGGGCGAGAGAATTCACCAGAGCCAGAGCGGGGAGCAGAGCAGGCAGAAGGACCGAAGTACACTGCTGAGGGGAGCAGCGGGCGGCAGGAGAGGTCTGCGCACCATGTGGGACCCTCCTCTGGTGGCCGGGGAGTAGCCGGGGATTGAACCAGTGCTGCAGAGGCTGCAGGCAGCTTCGCAACCCAGCGCTCAACCGCTGCGCCACCAGGGAGGCCCCCTCTTCCTTTTTTAAAAACAATTTCAGTTACATGGGCATTAGTTTTCCCTTAAAGATTTGATGAAATTCATTTGTGAAGCCATCTGGTCCCAGGCTTTTGCTTTTCAGATATTTTTATTACTGTTTCAATTTCCATGCTTGTCATCAGTTAACAAGTTATTGTTCGACTCATCATTTCTTCCTGGGTCAGTCTTGGTAAATGACATTGATCTAGAAATCTGTCGTTTCTTCAAGGCTATTAAGTTTATTGGCATCGAATTATTCACTTATGATCCTTTGTATTTCTGTGCTATGTGGGATGATTGCTCCTCTTTCAGTTGTGATTCTCTTTATTAATGTTTCCTCTTGTCTTTGTTAGTCTAGATAGAAGTTTGTCTTTGCTGCCTATCTTCTCAAAGAGTCAATTCTTAATTTCATTGATTGATGTTTATATAGGCTCATTGATCTCTATTTCATCGATTCCTACTATTTCCTTCTGTGCACTAACTTTGGATCTTGCTTGGTCCTCTTTTTGAAGTTGCTTTAGATGCAGAAGCATTGTTTATTTGGGATTTTACTTGCTTCTTATTGTGATCCTTAATGCAATTATCTTCTCCCTTAAGACAACTTTGCTGCATCCCATAGATTCTGGTAGTTTGTATCATCATTTTTATTCTTTTCAAGGTTTTTTTTTGATTCATGCTTTAATTTCTCCTTTCATGCAATAGCTATTAAGCAGCATGTTTTTTTTTCTTCACGTATTTGAAGTTTTTTCTATTTAAAATTTTTGTTGTTGTTGTTTTTCTAACGTAATATTATGGTCAGAGAGAGTACTTTGTATATTTTTTTAAAGATTTTTTTTTTTATGCATACAAGAACTGGGGTACAGGCCAGAGGTGGGGGTGGTGGTGAGAGGATTCACCAGAGACAGAGCAGGGAATAGAACAGGCAGACTGACTGAAATACATGGCTGAGGGGAGCAGGGGGATGTCAGGAGAGGTCTGCTGTGCATATGGGTAACTCCCTCACCGGGGATTGAACTTGTGCTGCAATGGCTGCAGACACCCTCATAGGTTGCATCTTAACCCCTTGTGCCCTTGTGTGTTTTATGTGTACTTGAAAAACCTGTATATGAAGTGGTTTTTAGGTAGATTCTTCCGTAGATGTCTGTTGAATCTATTTTGTTTACCTCTTCATTTGAGGTCATTGTTTTCTTATTTATTCGTTGTCTTGTTGATCTGTCTACTGTTCTTCTTGCTTGAGACCCTGTAAAGGCAGGACAGGCCACAGTGCAGTTTTCCTGATCCCATGCAGACCGGGTAAAGGAGGAGTCAGAGTCCTCAGTGGTTTTTTGCAGGTTTTTTAATTGGGGTTCACCAGGCATATGGCAGGCAGGGATGCTGGGGGGCCGGGAGGCTGGCAGTCCTCCCAGCCCCCAGCAAATCCTCACTCTATCTGGGCTCTCTGGTGATCTCAGCTTCTCTTCGGCTTCTGCTGCTGCTTTCTCGGCTTCTGGCATCCCTGTGACGCCGCCCTTAAAAAAGCACAGTCTTAGCGCAGGTGTACCCACTTCAGGCGCCCGCCATCAGGCATGCATTCAGGATCACAGGGTTCCCTCATCTATCCTGATGGCGGGAGAGCAGAAAAGCCTGATACCTTTTACCTTACCCTACAGACCCCCATGATGGGGACCATTATTTCTCTTTAAACTATCACAAAGGGCTCTTTCACTATTTTCATTTGTTTTTATTCTTCTTCCCCTATGTTGTTTTATTTGTGTATTCTCAAGCATTGTTTCTTTGAGCTCATTAATTCTCTCCATTTCTTTCTTTGTTGTTGTGGCCCTCACAGTTGTATTTTTTAATTAAGTCATGGTATTTCTTAGCTCATTTACTTCTAATTGTAACTGCGTCATATATTTTCTCTGCGTCATTCATATATATGTGTGTGTTTTTGTTTTGTTTGTTTTTTTCTTTCTTTTTTTTTGGGGAGTCCTACAAATGTTTTAACTGTTACCTTGAACTCCTGTTCAGTCATATTCTGCATGATTGAGACTCCTCCGGGTTTTTGTGCTTTTTGTGCTCCAGCATTTGTGGTATGTTCTTCTGTCTCCTCATTTTTAGTTTTTAATGGGTTGTAAAAAGGATAGACTTTTGGACTGCTGTCTTTACAGCTGTTGGAGCAACCAGAGAAATGGTATGATAATGGCTAATAAGTACAAGAAAGGACTGGGGCAGTGGGGCACCAAAGGATTAATTACTTCCAGTAAGCGTCAGAAATTCACTCTTACTCACACTTCCTATGTTACTGTGGGTACCCCAGTTGTGTGGTAATTGCTCCTTTAGGCAAGCTCCTTGTTTTAATATTTTTTATGGCCTTGTATCCACTTCTACCTCTATACTAGAACACCAAATGCAGTACTGGACACAGATGATAGTGATATTGTGTCAAAGGCCAGAGCTTTATTTGGGGTGTTTGCCCACATTATTAACAGGTGCTTAAATTCTAATTTATACAAGTATTCATTTGCTTTGGTTTTAGCCCCGGGGTGGGGGTGGTGTTGCCAGTTGTTTTGAATATCCCCATCTTGGCTCTGAAGAGTGACCTTTTCTAGGAGAGAAAGGTGATGTAACCTGTTTCTCCCTGATGATTTAGGCTGCAGCTGTTCTATATTGAGAGCCTCAGGGTCAAGCCAGTAATCCTTGCTTTGCACCCAATCCCTGCTGCTCTCCAGTAGTGCACCCTCTGTCCTGGGAACCAACTCTGTGTGCCCCCCTTACTCAGTTCAGTGTGGGGTTGGGGGGAAGTCTTCAGGGTCCACAATACTAGTGTGTGCTCCCAAGTCAGCAATG